ACATTTGCAAAAGCTGTTTCATAAAACTTCTGAAGTGTTGACATATTTAAGAAAAATTCCATACTAAATGCAATAGAAACGCATTCAGAGTAGCTACTGCAATCATACGAACTCAGTTACACTCCAACGGACTCGAATAAGGGAAAAAATATTTATTAGCTTACTAATCAAGAATAAGTATTATAAATTTATTGCATAAATTGCGGCGTATCAAAAACCACAACATTTAACTTCGAATTTCCTTTAACTTAATGGAAATTTCTTCATGCAACTGCAGAACAGATGGATGACGTAATCAAAGGAACGAATTAATTCCTTTTAATTTACGTGAAACAATTTCAGAAAAAACATAATTCAAATTATATAAAGTTCATTTCGAATAAGAAAGAGTCGAATTTTTATCAATTGGACTGAAAATGTCAATAACTCAAAAAAAAAATAAATGAAGAAGACACACTGGCTCAGTCCTTACCCGGATTAAGGTAAGAAAAATCAAATTAGAAATATTTATAAAATGGAAAATTTAAAATTAGTTTCTACACTTTCAGTCCTACATTTCAAAAAATTTTATATTTAAAAAGGAAAAATATTAAATGAATTGTTAAAAACTTACAAATATACAATACAATCCACATATAAGCCTACAATCAATACAAAATATCACTTAAGAATAATTAAAATAACCATAAAGATGTTAATTTACATATAATATGCATTTATATATTTGCAAGTTGAGTGCTTACAAAAAGAAAAAACAAGTACATATGTGACTTTGTTATATCCGTAGTCACCTTTAACTGTATCACATATAAAAGGAAAAAATAAAAACCTTTGAAAAGGTTGGTTTTTTTCTATTGAGGAAGTTTCTTTTTTTTTTTGTTTTCTTGTGAAATTCAAATTTCTGAAAAAAAGTATTTTTCTTAAATATTCAAAAAAAAAAAAAAAAAACAATTTTTTTTTTATTTTTTACAATCTTAAAATATCCTTGAAATATTTTTCTGTTTAAAACAACGACGACTTTTGTAAAATACTTTTAATGCTCCCCTTAATTTGAATGAATGCCAAAAGGATATGTGCACTTTTCTAAATTGCTGTTGAAAAAAATTTATAAAAATTTTTTTTTGTTTTATTTTTTTATCATTTTAAAACACAAACGTAAAATATCTAATTTTTTTTTTATTTTTTTCTATTCTTTTTTATGTACATGTATTTTTCTTATTCACACTTTCAATCATAAAATTTCATAATATACTGATAATTGTTATACAATATTTTTTCTCTATATAGGAGGGAAAGTCTTAATATTTTATTTGAAATTTAATAATATAAAAATAAATTGCAAACTTAAAAAGCATTAATGTGTATACACATGATTCTAAAATTAAATGTTTATAAATACAACATATGTACATACATCAATACATTTTTAATTTGTATAATTCTACAATATTTAAAAGTGGATATTATACAAAGCTGTAGTAGCTTAAATCAATTCGATACTGATACAATGTATTATTCAGCTAATATACATATTCAGCTATTTCTTCAACACTGACTCAGAATCTTTTCTAGAAAGCACAATAAGACGCAAACATAAATTATTTCTCAAAATTTTATTTTTGACCTGAATCATTTGCATTTAACAGTAATTAATATGTTCTTGTAATTAATATTTTCATGATCACTACACTATCACATGAATTAGTTCTCAGAATAAGCGCTTTTTAAAACAAAATTTTAATCCTTAGAGTAGTCTGGAATGAATTATATAACATATAATAATTGTTTTAAATTCAATATCTATAACTTTTAATAAAACAATGCAAAATGATGCCCAATAATATACTTATATCGTTTATAATTTTTTTGAAATCTTAAGAATTAAGTTATGTGTGCATTTGCGTACTCAAATTGCATGAATGAATCAAAATACATATTGTATACCTACAAATCTATTTTTTTAAAAAAAATAATCTCTAGAATCAAATTTTTTTGATTCTAAATTTATTTTTTGAAAAAAGTTACATTTAATGCCTCTCTATTATTTGGAACTAATTAAGCTACAATTTCTTAAGATCACAAATATATATATATGAAATGTTAATTATAAAAAGGAAAATTTTTTTTAGAATTGGAATAACAATACGTTTCATGAAATATAAATTGTTTACCCATATGATATTAAGAAATCTTACATATATATTAATACAGTAACTCAGCCAACATAAATCATAATAGAATAATTTTAAATTCGGAAAAGATAGTCAAAAAGAAGAATCTTATTTTGAAATTTTATAGCTCTCCTATTCTTACTTCAAAACATTAATATTTTATAGCTACAAATCAGATAAAATTTATAAAGCTTTTCTCTTAGCAAAATATTGAAAATATTAAAAAAAAACTGTGATAAATTTGTTTTGTAAAAGGACCCTGTTAAATACTTTTGTATTACTTAACTTACCATATCTACAAAAGAATAAGTGTTGCACGATATTCAAATTTAGGTATACCGTATAAGTAAGAAAATGCAAGTTAATCATTACTTGCGCTATGAAAGGGACTGTTTATTTTTTAATATTAAATGGAATTAAAACAATTTGTTATACTATAGTCTTCACAGTTTTTGTGTTAAAATTTAACACCCTGTGCTAACATTTTTTACAATATTCTTAAGCGGCTTTATAAAATTTTAGTTGATCAAATTAAAAAAAAAAAATAGAAAAAATGCAAACAAAAAAACTGAAATAACCTTTAATTTCTTCCAGTAAGTAACATAAGTAAAAATTTTGTCAAGTTCCTCTTAACAGCTTGCACTTATATAAAATTAACCATACATAAACCATAAATTATATTATTCTTAGCAAAAACAAAAAGAAAATATGTCTGACCTTGAAGGGTTCACATTTTACATTGAAAATTCATAAGTTAAGAGTAGAAAGAGAAGAAAAACTGCACTATGAGTAAATGAGGAAAACAATTGTTTTTTACTATTTTTCATCATATTTTTAAGGACATCCATGAGGATCATTAAGGTAACTATTTTCCCCCCTCTCTCCTTTATAATTGTATTCGTTTCCTTTTCGAAGGTAATTTGAAAACAAAAGAAAGTAGATATTTTAGTTTTATTTTAAATTTTACTTAAGTTCTTTTGTTTTCTTTTGTTATATAAAAAATTAAAATGCCACAAATAAAAAAAAGCCCAGCATAATTTTTTTTTGTTCAAAATGTAATAATATGTAAACATATTTACTATTTATTAAGTATACATATGTATATATATATACTTATATTATTGGCTACCATGCGATATATATATATATATATATATATATATATCTAAATATGTAACGTGTAGTTTTCTTGTCGATTTTAAGACTTTACAATGATTTGGTATTATGTATTCTGGCCCTTCTAGTATCAAATATAATTTTAAAATTATATTTAAAATGAAAATTTTTAATCTGTTTCTCCATATTAATTGTCACTTATAATTGTTTACGTTTGCTGCTATTGAATATTTGTTCTGCTAGGTTAATAATGTTTCTTGTGCCTTACTAAACAAGCTACAAGTATGACATCATGAAAATCGAAAAAAAAAATATTGTAATTTAGTGTTGAATTAATTAACTGATAACTGATAAGAAATTATTAAAATGCACAATGTATATATAATTGCGCTATACCATGAATGTTTTAATTTATATTAATGCACATACATACAGATATGAGCTATTATATGTTATTAATATGTATTTGGCTCATCTTTTCTAATTTAGCTAGAATATCCCATATTTTACAAAGATTTTCAAAAATTATATTTATCATACAATTATACATGTTCAGCTCTGCTACGACCTATATTTTATCTTTTTCTGAAATTCCTATATAGAATTCAAAAATAGAATCAGAGAAAAATTGAGATTAATAGTATTTAAAATACCGTTTGGTTCAAGATTTCGTTGAAGGATACTTAGTAATATAAAAACCATAATGTAACATAAAATAAGATACTTACAATTCCACAAAAGTCCGGGTCGTATTATAATAAAACAATTAACTTAAAAACGCATAGTGGATCACAAAAAGAATTACCACGCATAAAATATGTATAAACAATGTTTTACGATAATAATGATAAATAAAAAAACAAATTATTTATCTCTTTTATCACTTATTTTTTCAAAGAAACAAACGCATTAGTATATTTTTAACCTATTTAAACGCTTTTTTATGATTCGTTGTCATACAAATAAGATGTACATTATGTACACAATGTGTTTTTCAATTTTTCATTTCTAAAATTAAAATAATATGTGTACGTAAACCAAAAAAGTAAGCAAATAAACATCACGTTTCCAAATATGTCAATTCTCAAAAAAAAAACCTTAATTCCGAACTAATTAGTATATCCAAGAAAATTAGTATTACGTATACAAAATCCCAGTTGAATAAATACAGAAATTTTAAAACAATAAATACTTTTTTCTTTCATGCATGTAATTTTTCACCTTTCGATTGGATGGTAGTTATTTTCAATTACCATACAAAATTTGGGTTCATAATACAAAGAAAAGAAATCAACACGAAAAACCAAAAATAAACTTTAACTAATTTAGAAAAATTCCAATTATCTCTATAAATACGTAAACATGATTCCAATCATTTTCAACAGTTATCTTTTAAGGAAACAATTTCATTATATCAAAAAAATTAAATGAAAACAAATTAAACAAATTTGAATATAAAAATTAATTTTATTAAAATAATCTTTATAAATGAATTCATTTAAAACTTCTGAACTCTTAATTTTAATATTTTCTACTAGTAAGCAAAAAAGTTTTTTGTTTTTACTTAAAACTTGTTGGTACTAACGAGAAAACAAAATTTTAAAACAATAATTGAATTTCACGACTTTGTTTTTATAGTTTATTTTTAAAATACATATTAAGTTTTTACAACATCCATATTTATATATAATACACTAACGAAAAACAAATAAAAGTAAAAAATAATATTTTGTGCATTTCATGTGGAAAGTAAAAATAAAAACCAATATTTTATTTTAGTAAATTTGAATTCATTTAGACAATAATAAGTTTTTATAACAAAAGGATACTAAAACTTTCATGTAGATTTCACGCTATAACTTCTTTCCTAACTAAAAGTTTTATTTTAATATTGAAAAATTACAAATATATTTACATTTATGTAAGTTTTTATATATACATATTTTGTTTTTAATTAATTTTTCCTATTGAACATTGCAGCTAATTTACTATTATTTTTTTTTTTTCAAATTTTAAACTCAAGAGTATCACATTGACTCCAGATCTGTCCAAATGAATTCATCTTAAATCTTAAAAGTATAAGATACATATAAATTTTATTCCAAATTATTTACTTGATTTTATACATACACAGAAATATGATTGTTTTTTTTTTTCAACTTTTCTTTATTTTTTCTTGTTAAAGCTTAAATTTTTTTTATAAATCAAGTTAACCGAATTTAAAAAAAATATGCTAAATCCATAAAATATTAAATCCTGTGCAACTATAAAAACCATGCACAGCCTTGCAAACTTATTAATTTTATTCATGTTATATATGTATATATGTAAAGTAAAAAAAATGAGACTCATACATTGAAGTTATATAAGAATGTATTTTTAATTATTATAAATTTTTCGCAAGGTGGGAAACTCATGTTCAGTTTCAAAAGGAAACTGAAATTATTCAACTATTTTCTTATATCAGATAGAGCAAAATTTTTATTGCAAAGTTTTTTTTTTAAAATTATGAATGGAGTTGCTATTTTAATGTAAAAATTCAAAGTATATGGGAATAGTTGAATTTTATTTTAGTAAAATGATTAAGATAAAATATAAAATTCTTTCAATAGTCTAAAACTTAATTGAGCAACTGCTTCAACTAATTTATTATAATACAAGCCACATAAAAATTTTGTTACTTCTTTTATAAAATTATTTTTATATGCTGTTAAGTATATATGATATATGATTCATTACTTATTAGTTATACATAAATATGTATGTACATTTAGGTTTTTATTTTTAATAATAATATATATCTTTTACATAAAACAGTAAACAGCACATATCAATTACATTTATAACATCAACAACGAATTCGTTCTATATACACATAACTTAGTTTTCTATCATTTATCTGAATTAATCATAATAATTTGTAATTGAATACTAGATGAAAGTAATTTAATTGAATACATAACTGCTTTTACTCAAAAATTTATTTTTTAAAATTTACACTAACGAACTATACTTGCATCTTCGGCCTGCTAGCTTCCTGTCGCTTTTTCAATAATTTTAATCTATGATTACAATAAACTCTAATAAATATAGCTAAGAAAACTACACAAACTCCTACAATACCATATGCAGATATACTATGATTATAAATAAAACATGATAACATAATTGCCACTGCCTAAAATTCAAAAAAGAAATTAAAAAGTAATACACAAAAATATAACATAAAATACGTATTGAATATGCAAATGTTTTAGTTTATTCAGCTGTCTTTAATTTCAAAATAATGTACGCAAATAGATACATTGTTTAATTATTAACAAAATAATGTATTAATTTAATTGCTCTAGCTTTAAAAAAAAACCAAAAATTTGGTTTTATTTAGTTAATTTCACGATTATATTAAGCACGTTCAAACTTATATATTTTTAAAAATTAATACATATTATGTACTTTGAACTTTCATTTGCATAAAACTTTTAATGTTTTAATATGATTCAATAAAAATTTTTTTGATCTTACCTGGCGCAAAGTCATAATAATGGTAAAAATCACTGGTCCAAAAACTGAGATAGTATAAAATATAAATAACTGGCCAACAGCTGAGCTAATAGACAAAACCACACAATCGAAAACAAATTTAGGATGCTGAAATTATTGTTTTTAAATGTTTCTCATTATTAAAAAATTATTTCTATTTCGATTTTATTTTATCTTACATGAACAGCAAAATCAAAAGAAGCCCAAAATCCACCCTGAACTAATAATGAAGCAGCTGTAAAAATAGAACTAAATAAATTGACTCCACACATCATTTGAATTGAACTCATTCCGTAAGATTTAAATAAATCTCCTTGCCAATTTGCTGTAAAGCTGTCAAATATCATATACATTGCTAATAAAAACACCCCCGTTAAAGTCGTTACGGAAGAAGCTTTTCCTTCATCCGTACTACCAGTCATAAATAATATCATTCCGACTGATATTAGGCCGGCAGTAAAATATTCGTAACATTCGTATTTCGTTCTAGAAATTATTTTCCCCATTAACATTACTGGTATTATTTTACATGATTTAGCTAGAACTTGTGTAGGAAAATTTACAAATTTCAAAGCTTCATATTGAAACCAGGCACTCATAATATTTGAAAATGAAGCATACGAATATTTATACAATGGAGCACGATGTCTACTTTGTTGATTTAATATAATATATAGTAGCGCAACAAAAAAGGCTAATAGGCGGTTTGTAAATACTAAAAATTGCGAATCCTTAAAATAACTTTTTTTGCCATTGGAATCAGTATATTCTTGGGTCATAATTTTTTCTTGCAAAACACCCCATGTTAGATAAGATCCCATCAAGCCAAAAAAACAATAAGCTAATAAAAATGCATCTCTAGTAGCGGTTCTGCTCGGCTTAATAATTTTTTGTTGAGGATCTATTCTATCATCGATTTCTGGGGAAGTTGTGGTGCCTTTCAAACAACTCTGAACTGCTTTGTGAATTAATGTTGGATCTTAAATAAAAATTTATATTAATATGTATTAAATTTATCTTTGAAATACTGCTTTTACCAGTTTTTTCTAAATAATTTGTTCGATTTATATATTTGTATACCAAAATTCCGGGTACGAATACACAACTGTAACCAAAAGAGTTAACTAAAAGTTTAAGCAACCATCCATATTCCTGGCTTTGAATTTCTACTAATTGCGATAGAGTCAATTCAGACTCACTTCCACCTAGAGATAGGCGCAAAAAATTTGAAAGTAAGTGAACTATTCCAAAAGTCCCAATGATGAAAGAACTAAAATTGATTTTTAAATTAACTTAAAATTATAAGTTATATATAATTTTTTAACCATATTACAATATCTGGAACAATATTCCCCATTATTTAGTATTTATTAAATTGAGATGAAACCTAAATTTTATCATTAATATTTACGTTACTAATCCTTAAAATACGACACGTTGTACCTTATAGCTAATATACTTCAAACTAAACTTTTAAATATTAGGCTCATAAGTTAGCTACCTAAATTTTATTTTTTGCCGACTTCAAACGGGTTCTTGGCTCTACATGATTGTTTAATATTTTGGTAATTTTTTCTATTATGATTCCACAATGTTATTGACTTTAAACAATTCTAAAAGCTCATTTTTTTTATTAGTACAAGTGTTTTTACGCTAATATTTGTTTCTAATGTTCTTATGATAAAAAAAACTGACATATTTATAAGTGTTACCAGGTAAAACAAATATTTCAATGATCGGGCCAAATAATTTAAGGGTTACACAAGCTCATATTTCACTCAGTTGTCTAAAACTATTAATTTTTTAAAAACACGTTTTTCAAAACTTTTTAATTTCTAAATAATATGACTATCAATTCATTATTTATTAAAACTGAAATAGCTATGACTACTAAGTAAAACATCCCATTTTTTAAAGATATGATATGATAGTTATGTGAGTCTACATAATATATCTAATATGTATATATTAGTTTTCTAATAATTCGCCGTCGTTATACTAGACAGGATGTGAATCACCAAATTAGATTTTAATTAATAGCCAAATAATGATTCAAAAAATATATTATTGGATTTCATCAAACAACATCAAACAAAAGAAAAGGAAATTGAATAGTGTAGTTTCTTGTCCACTTTAAAAAGTAATTCATAAAGCCATAAAAGGTGCCACTTTTTTAATTTTTTTTTTGGCTTTTATTGAGTATATTTTGTTGATAGGTTGAACTCAATTGATAGGTATTTTATTTTCTAAGATACCAGATTTTCTTTAAAGAAACAAACTTTCTACATAAAAATTTTAATTGCTACTATGTATAATACTGCCTATTTGATACATACATAAAATAAGTTCCATCACGTAACTCTTTAAAATTTTAACTCAGTTATTTTATTAATTTTAACTTTGACGTTGTCAAAAAATAAACTAGTTGTTTTTTAATCGTTTAACGACACTAGCTATTTTATGCTTATTATTTTATTGAATTTTAAATGAGCTATTATTTATTAAAATTTAATTGAATTATTTTTTCATTTTTATATTGCGAAGGAAATGAAGTAAACATTTGTTTTTAAAATATTTAGTTATTGTTTTAAGGCTCAACTTTATTACCATAATATATCTACAAAATTTCGGCAATGTAGTATTTTTAATACGTACGTAAACTTAACGTTTTTTTTCCAGTACATATTTGACGTATATTTTTTTTTAAAAAGGGATGTAATGTTTAAATCAAAGTATATCTACTAATAAGTAATTCGACTCGTTCCATTCCGTTAGTTTTCATTTGCATCTTGCTTCCAAATTCTTAAAATATTCCATTTTTTTTTAGACATAGATGGTAATAAGAGTTGTGTAGGCAAGAAAGAAACAAAATATTATAAACAAACGAGTGTATCAAAAACATTGAACTAAAATAAAATTAAATTAAGTTATGTAAAAATTTTGTTATTTTTATTTTGATAATAACAAAATTTATTTTTCATTTTATAAAACTTAGGTAAAAAATTCGAATGTATGAAAGCAAAAGAGTTTGAAATTTCATGTATGAATGTACACATGCATGTACATTTATAAAGAAAAAAAGGTGTATGCATACTGATTACTTTATGAAATATAGTTATTACCGATTCATTTAAAAGAACAAAGCTCTGCACATCTCTTGGCAACAAATTAAATTTTCGTGTCGGCTTTTTTGCCTCCATTAATGTTTACCCATTATTATAAAAAAAATTTTTTTTTTACAACTACTTAAAATTTTTTTTAATATTGTACGTCTTTTTAAAATTTATTTTTATTATTTTTCATATAAATTATAATAATTGTTTTTAAACACTTTTTTTCCGCTTCGCTTTTATAATATGAATACACCTTTTTTGCCACCTTGTACTGGAATGAATTACAGAAAATATTGTGTCGCTTTTAAAATTCTTAATATTTTTCCCTATACTTTATATACGAGCAAATAATAAAGTGTCGCCTTTCAAAATACATTATAAAAAAATAGGTTGACATCTATTGCGTGCTCTTTCCCTCTCCCAAATATTCTTATGTGTATAAAAATGAAAATAACAAGCTATACTGCTTAATTCTTTTAACTAAGGGAATTTTTTGTATACAAACATTGGTGAGTGATTGCATTAGTGTGATGTAAACGGAGAGTCGAACTACTTGTTAGTAGATATACTTTGGTTTAAATGTCATCATTAGTATAACAAAAAGAAAACAAGCAGAACAAATATTTTGACAATAAAAAAGTTGAAAAGCAAAAGAGTAAGATTGAAAGAAAGTCGGCCATTTTCGAAAGATTAATTATATGGCAAACAAAAGAGGTTGAATAAAAGAAAATTAAAATATCGACAAAACAAATATAAAGTACCATTACCTACGCAGGTTTAATAAAATTGAAAATTTTAATAAATTCAGTATCAAATTGCATATTAAAACAAACTTGTTTTCGCATATTAAATTTAACATTTTGATAAGAATTCGGACCATATTTCGCCAGAGGTAAGTACGTACAGATATATATGTATATAATATGTACACATTTTTATGAATATATATGCATACATATTGCTAAAATCTTGCAATTATTTTTCAACAGCCAGAAAAAAAATTTTTTTCACTAAGAAAACAAATAAATTATTATATATGAAACATAATGTTTCACTAAAATAAATTTAATCTAAAAAAACGTTTAATGCTAAGCATTGAAAAAAACACAAAATACATGTATATACATATGTGTGTATGTATGTAGTTATAAATTTGTGTCATGCATATATGTATATATGTATATATGTACATACATATTTGTACTCATAGTTAGTATGCTCGTGTACATTTGGTTAATGTGAAAATAAAAAAACACATAAATTCTATTTTTGAAATTTGAAATGGAAACAGGAAATATTTTTAAAATTTGAATAATATGCGTTCCATAACTGTCCATACCACATCAGCTATTGTTGACTCTGCCTCATCAGAATTTTTTAAAATTTATAAAGAGGATCAAAAATTTTTATTTAAATATGCTGATTCTGTGTTTTAAAATTACTATGCACATAATATATGTATTGATGTAGTTTTAGTATATGCATTGTAATAATGTATTTGGCGATGTGATACATATAAGAAGGTACATGAATTTAACTTTGAAAAAGATAATGAAAGAATTTGTTACTTGCCATTTGTCTTATATTTCCCTAATCTAATATTTTAATAATTTCCAAAAAAATTTAAAATTACCATTGATTACCACAGGTCCACCTCGTACTACACAAATGAATTTTCCGATTAAAGAACCACTATACCTTTACGAACTTATGTGGGTAGGTATGTAACTATCTCTTAAATTCGTAATAAAATATATACAATGTTTAAAAATATTCGTAATAAAATATTTACAAGGTTTTGCAAGTTGAAATATAATATTAGCATATTCTTTTGTGAGTCTATATATATTTATCAAATATGCATTATATATGCAGTAGTTTTCTAATAATTCGCCGTCCTTCAAAATTTATTTTTTTAAAAACTTAATTTATATAATCACACATTGGTACATAGTTATTTTACACAAATATAAAAAAAGGTGGTTTTTGGTAAATAGGTACTGACTATATTGAGAAAGTATACATATGTATATTTATCTCTGAAAATTAAACGTTTCAATATCCCACCTTTCTAAAAATTTTTTCAAAGAAAATAAGTACACAATGTATAACGTTTACATGTGCACCTGTTATAACATAGTTCTCTTGCATTTTACAGGTAGTTAAAATTAGCTTGAACCATACTTGCAATATTTAATTTTTTCTGTTTTCAATTTACATTTTCATCGAAAGAAATTTAGACAGTCAGACATGGCTAAATAACTTATTCAGCCGCAAGTTTATTTTAACCGTCTAAATATACCTACGCGGGTATTAATAGCAGGGAGAAATACAAATACATATTTTATTAATTATAGTCTTTAATTTTTTCAGATATAAAAAATTGAAATTTCCCAGTGCAATAAATTTAATAAAGAAATAAGAGAATATCACAAATTACTGCAAAAAACTGAAAACATTTGGATTGACTTATATTAAATAAAAAAAAAAGTGGTAACAATAGAATATCGAGAAAATTGATTAAAACGCAATAATATTAAAATAAAACTCAACAAAATGGAACCATCACCGTCTGTAAATAGAATTCATGTGAATAATTCAACTGGTTTATCATTAAATGCTCGATTCACAGCCATGCAGTCACTTGGCAGCACTACACAACAAAAACAAAAAAAACGTTCACGTTCTGCATCAAGATTTCTTCTAAGTGAAAATGGATCTGTTGCGAACAGAAAATTTTTACAACAGTTGGAAAAAAAACATAAAATGGAAACTGCACTCAAATTGAAACGAGTATGGAATTCAATATTTTTAATATTATAATAACAGAAATTATTTGAAAATTATCAGATCAGTAACGTTGCTTAGAACAAAAACAGTTTTTAGTTAGAATCTCAAGAATGAGAAAAAATCTGATGCTTTTGAAAATTTAAAAAATTTTTACTAAATGGAAACAACTATGAACTAATTTATTGTTATATTTGTATTGATTATTTGCAATTTACAGAGAAGCTTAAAAGCTGGAATACAAAGAGGTGGTCGGAGTAAGAATGTTAGTGCATTAGCATTACGATTAGCACCTAACGGAAAAATTATAAAAGCAAGAAGCTTAGCAAATGTCGCAACGTAAGCATTTAGATTTTGATTGAAAAGAAAACTTATGAAAAGCACATCAATAGAAGGATTGATAAAAACGAAGAGAACTTTAAAAATGATTTTTTTAAAGTTTTATATAAAAAAAATAATATATTTTGTGACAGAAAGAAAAATGAAACAGAAATTTTACTTTGGTTTCATTTGGGACTCATCATATAAAAACTTTGAAAAATATATTAAAAACATTATTAATATTGAAACACACATCACTATTCTCTTTTTAAAAAAATATACAAACCTTTCTCCTACAGAATGAAAGCAGATCTAGTTCAGCCAGTCGCTCCATTACAACGGTCGAATTCAGGCCTTAATTTAGGTGGTCGTGTTGGTCTACCAAGACGTATCAATAGACGTCGTTCTAGTCAAATTGGCATATCTCCACAAGGTGGAAGAAGAATGCGATTAAGGCGCAATAATAATATACCTAACAATTCAATAAATCAAGTTCGGGGTAGATCTCGTTCTCGCAGTAGAAATAGACAAAGATCAAATTCTATTTCAAATTTGACACGAAGAAATATAGCTATGAATATAACTCAACAGCAAAATCAACAACAGCAACGAAGAGCAAGATCACGGTCAAGAAGTAGAGGAAGATTAAATACAAATAGAAATGTTCGATCAACCAGTCAATCTAGATCAGTACACAGTAGATTAGGAATAAAACGTGTACCTGTACAAAATAAAAATGTAATTCGCGGATTAAATAGACGTCGTGGAATTGGCCGTGTTGCTCGTGGAAGGATTACTAAAAGGATGAATTCGACCGGTGGCGCATCAATTTCTAATTCTGTTTTATCAACTAATCAAAATGGTATGAAGCGACAAGGGCGAAGCAGATCAAGATCTAGAATAAGGTATGGTTTTTGTAAAATCTTGTCGTAAATTAAATTTTGATTAGAAATACTTTTTCAGGAATTCCGTAGCTGTACAAGGCCAAAGAGGAAGATCGCGCAGTCGGGCAAGAAGTCGATCAATAAAACGCGGCGGTAAAATACAAACAAAAAGTGCAACGGTCAATCGTAGGGGCCGTAGCCGTAGTAGAGGTCGGGGTGGTCGTGGCCCCACTAGAGGTAGTCCATAAGTATTTTAACTCACAATAGTGAAGTCTCATAGCAGTGAAAAATTTGATTCAACGCTTCATATTCCATAAAAATTGTGGATATTATAACCATTAATAATTTGAAATTCAGTCATTATATTATTCTGAATAAAATATTTGATTTTAGGTGGCAATAACAATACCAAACGCGAGGACATCAAAAAAGAAGATTTGGATAAGGAGCTTGATCAATATATGGCATCATCAAATAACGATAATGATTTATAAATGAAATAGACATACTATTTGCAGAAATATTAATTTAAGATATATATACAATTAAAAATTACATAATTACTTAGTTGTCGATAAAAGAAAATTAATTTATTACAAAAGTAGTCTAAACAAAAATGTAAACAATTTTTTAAATCATTTAAATTACATAACTTTTATTACAAATATGTACTGAATTTAAGTTTCTATCTGTATAAATATTTTGTAATATATAAGAATTAATAAAATAAAATAGTAAAAGTCAGTGTTTTAAATTTATTAATAAAAATCGTATTTTCGCAAACCATCCTTGACTTCAATAATGTTTTAAAAAAGATTTGAGTACGGTATTAATAAGTTGTACTACCGCCTCAGAGCTTTCAATACCTTTACATTGTAAAAAAAACAACTAAAGCTTTTCGCACATTTCAGAATACAATTTTTACCATATTAATACAATATTGACGTTTACTTGAAAATTTCATTTTTATAAAACGTTACCACATCGTTAAAAACAACATTTTTATGCTGCATTTTAGGAAAAAACTTGATAACTAGCAGTTTATTGCTGAAAATATATGCTAGTTTATTTTATCGGTTATTTTTGGCAACATTTATATATTATTAGGGAGGGGGAAATCGGCTCTACCAACCTCCAAGTGGTTCCTCCTGGAAACTGATGCATCAGGCTAATGGGTAGTCCGTGCAGGAAGTAGAGAGGGGGACTTGTACGGTGGGACTGGTAGCATAGCTATCTGGACTCCCACGTGCATGTCTCTTAATCGAAGTAACTGCAAAATCCAGAAGCGTCTGTCCCAGAATGGGCGGCTCCCTGGTCTGCGTCTGATCCCAGTGGGACGGCAGTTCTTAGACCTGGCAGTAGGGATAAAACGCAACAACATAAAAAAAAAAAAAAAAAATAACAATGAATAATGATATAAAACAAGTTACGGGACAGGGGATCGGAACCCCAGAACCGGTACGTGAAGTGAGCGAACGAGTGGGCTCCCACGGACCGTCATCAAGCGACCGCTCTGCACCAATGGTGGTTAACCAGGCCATGGTGCTGGATACAGCTACTGGATCAAATCTTCTAAGCAACTCCAATGTGGATTTACCAAATCCTTTTGCGAGGAGTAATAAACTACTCAGATCACCGAAAAAAACGAGAAGTCAGTCTCTAGCAGACCTAACTAACATTAATCCGCAAGAAAAGGTACTTCAGCCACAAAACAAAAAGAAAAAAAGACCAATGTCGCCTCATTCTAGTCCTGAGGAAGCATTCGCGGGATTTCCAACTACTCATAATAGTGACCAAATCAAAATCCTAAATCTCGAATCTCAACTTAGGAACGCCTTAGCAGAAATTCAAGAACTAAAGCGCACTATAAATGTTTTAAAAAAGAGAGACATTGAAAAACCAGATAACGAGGTCAAAGATGCGATTGGAGTCGATGTTGACATAGATATCGAGGACACCAACGTGGCCAAGGAAACAGCGTGGATTTTACAAAAAAACAGAAAGAAAAAAGCTACTCTAGTAAAATCAAATACTCCAAACATTACACCGAAACCAAAGCAAAGGAAAATAAACGATAACACTATATTAACAAATTCGACCTTACAACGGAATATCACGAAAAATAACCCATCTGTCAAGGCGGTTAGCCAGGATTACAAGACCTCAGCTACAACTCCAAAGGCAACAAAGCACATACAGACTAGTGAAGAAACCAAAACCAAATCACTAAGACCACCCCCGGTTATTATGAGCAATATAAAAAACTATTCGGACATTAAGGAAATCCTAAAGGCCAAAAATATAAAATTTCAAGCAAGCCTAATGAACAACAATCAAATTAAGGTTAATGTTCAATCTGCGGATGAATATAGAGAGTTAACCAAATTTGCAAATGATGCAAAAATTGAATGGCACAGTTACGAAAACAAACAAACAAGACCGATTAGGGTAATGGTCAAGAACTTACACCAATCTTGCAACCCAGAGGATATAAAAAACGAACTTCTAAACGAAGGATTTAAAATCACCGAAGTGGTCAACAGATTCGTAAAAAAAAGACTTGATGACGGAAAGGTAGAGATAATCAAACTGCCTTTATTTATGTTATCGTTCGAAAACACTGAGGATGTTAAAAAAATTTATAGCATTCAATATATGTATTAATCACATGAAAGTTAAAATCGAACCTGTCAAATCCAACAAACTAATCCCTCAATGCAAACGCTGCCAAAGGCACGGCCACACACAAAAATACTGTCAGAGAGGTCACATTTGTGTTAAATGCGCTGGAAACCATGCAACCATCACATGTACCAAACCAAAAAACACCCCGGCAAAATGTTCAAACTGTGGACACCCGCATCCTGCAAACTACAGGGGGTGTATTGTCGCTAAAGAGCTCCAAAAGAGGAGGTACGAGCAAATTTATAACAAAAAGGTAACGCAACACAACCGGCCCAATAAATCCGCAAAAGTTATACTGGGAAGGTCATACGCTAACGTCGTGTATTATAATCATAGCGATCAAGATAATAACAATAATAATATTACGGAAATGCTTAACAATGTTATGTACATGTTCGAAGTTTTGTCAACCAGACTTGACGCTATCGAAGCAAATACAATAGGAGCTGTAGCTCTCCCGCAACCATGATGACTCGTAACGACATCAGAATAGCAGACTCAAATGGAGTAAACGGCAAACTTCACGAATTCGAAGTCTTCCTGAACACGCAAAAAATTGATATCTGTTTATTGTCTGAAACCCATTGGACAAAGGAGTCATTCAAAAAATTTACAGGCTATGAAACGTATTCAACTCACCACCCGGACAATCAGGCTCAGGCAGGTAGTGCAATTGTTATCAAGGAGAATATAAAAATTTACGAGGTATCCTGTATTCAAAAAAAAGATATCCAGCTTACAATTCTTGGTATCAAAACCATGCAACAAAAACTGTCGGTCGGTGCAATTTACTGTCCGCCCAAATACGATTTAAAGAAACCCGATTATCTGAATATTCTTCAGGCTATGGGGGACAGATTCATTATAGGCGGCGATTTTAATGCCAAACATGTCGACTGGGGTTCCAGATTAACAACAACGAAAGGTAAAGAGTTAAGAGCGGCAACGGCTGAATTGGGCTGCGACTTACATAGTACCGGTAAACCAACGTACTGGCCCACAGATCCCAATAAAATCCCCGACTTGTTGGACTTCTTCATCTGTAAGAGGGTGTCCTCAAATTTCATAGATTTGAAGGATAATTATGATCTGAGTTCTGACCACTCAGCAGTCATTTTAACACTGAGCGACAAAATTATTTCTAGGGAAACTAAACCCATGTTGACTAACAATTCCACGAATTGGTGTAACTTTCAAGAGCAGTTAGAAAGGTCAATCAACTTAAAAGTTAAACTTCGCACGACGGAACAATTAGAAGATCAAGTAGTAAAGTTCACAAATGCGATTCAACAAGCTGCTTGGAGCAGTACGAAGGAATTGAGTTTAGAAACGATAGGAGTTAAATATCCCATAGAAATAAGAAATTTAGTCAATGAGAAAAGAAGAGCTCGAAGAAGATGGCAACATACAAGAGATCCCTCAGACAAGAACTTACTTAACCGCAAAACTCAACAATTAAAAAGAGAAATACGCAAATTAAAAGAAACATCGACGCAGAGTTACCTGGAAAAATTATCGGCAAATGAAAAAGGCGAATACTCCTTGTGGAAGGTCACAAAAAATTTAAAAAAACCTATTTCTCACATTCCTCCAATCCGGAGAAACAACGGAACTTGGGCGAGAAATGATGAAGATATAGCCAACACATTTGCAGAACACTTGGCAAACATTTTTAAACCTAACACCTATACTCAATACTTACCTCCAAACAATAATGTATTTCTCGAAAATCCGCACATTACTCTGGTTACCCAAGCTGAAGTTAGAAATGAAATTAAGTCCAGCTGTAAAAATAAGAAAGCCCCAGGATTTGACCTTATTACAAACGAGATCCTTAACAACCTACCAAAAAAAGCGGTAACTATGCTAACTTTTATAATAAATGCAGTTTTTCGCTTGCAACATTTCCCCAGCATGTGGAAAGTGGCAGAGGTAATTATGTTACAAAAACCTGGAAAGCCGCCAAACGACGTAAAATCCTACAGGCCCATTTCACTCCTGCCATTGATCTCTAAGGTTTCCGAAAAAATTCTTCTGAGAAGACTAAAACCAATTATCGAAAGTTCAAATATCATCCCCAACCATCAATTTGGCTTTAGGGAGAAACACTCAACGGTTGATCAAATTCATCGCATTGCAGATGTAATAGAACAATGCTTAGAAGAAAAACAAATTTGTTCTGCCATATTTCTCGACGTAGCCCAGGCATTTGACAAGGTGTGGCATGCGGGCCTTATGGTCAAACTTGGCAACTGTTTGCCTAAACAGTATGTGAGTCTTTTAACATCATATCTGTCTGACAGGGTATTCAGAGTAAAGGTAAGAGACGAATATTCAAATTTGTACAACATCGAAGCGGGAGTTCCACAGGGTAGTATCCTGGGCCCCATCCTCTACCTATTGTATACATGCGATCTTCCGGTACCAGAAAACGTTGTTGTGGCCACCTTTGCTGACGATACAGCTTTGCTAACAACCGATGCCGACCCAAATAAAGCAGCAAGCAAATTACAAAAGGCCAGCGACCTTGTCTACGATTGGACAAAAAAATGGAACATTAAATTAAACGAGACAAAGTCAGTTCACATCAACTTTACAAATAAACATATAAACCAGCACACACCTATCTACATAAACGGCACAATAGTCCCATTCCAGACAACCGCAAAGTATCTAGTGATGACTCTAGACACAAAGTTAAGGTGGAAAGAGCACGTCAAAATAAAAAAGGCCGAGCTGAATCTGAAGTACAGCAAACTTTATTGGCTATTGGGTAGAAACTCCAAGCTTTCAATAGGTAACAAGATATTGATTTATAACCAGGTAATAAAACCAATATGGCTATACGGCGTACAACTTTGGGGATGCGCAAAGCAGACACATATTCAGAAAATACAACGGTTCCAAAACAAGGTTTTGAGAAACATGGTCAACGCACATTGGTACGTTCGTAACTTCGACCTTCACAGAGATTTAAAAATTAATTTTGTCAAAGATGAAATTGAAATTGCGGCCAATAAGCATAACAACAGGTTACGAGATCACGTCAACGCTGAAGCCAAACGGCTTCTTGACGAGTCTCATATCACAAGAAGACTCAAGAGAACCAAACCAATTGATCTAACCAACTTCTGTTAACTGGCACATATGGGCATGCCTGATACATCAGATTCAACTTGGGGGGACCACTGGGTTACCTGAAGTTTACATTAAGTAGCTTATAAGATCAACAAAATAATACTGATGGTTGGTCCTTTGGGACCAGTTTTAGTTACAAATTAAAAAAAAAAAAAAAAAAAAAAAAAAAAAAAAAAAAATTATATATTATGACAAGGTATAAGAAAAGGGTGCTCGATTTTTTCAATACCCGATTGACTTTTATTTTACGTCTCCACTACGTATAAATCGATTTAGTAAAAGTAGAATGTCAAGAGCTTTTACAAAACTTTTTAGAATTTGATACTTTGTGAAATTTACGTCGAAAGCACATTATTGAAGTCGCAGCATGTTTTCCCACTTGTTAACTCAATTCTATAATTATTGTCCAGTATTCATGACCAATTTTATTCTGAACGCATAAGGGCTAATGGATAACGTACTTTAAAAATTAGAGTAATCACACATATATTTTGTTAGGGCCGAGAAAAACATGCAATTTTTAACTTTGTTTCAATGCTTATTTGTACATGTTCCATATGTTTATATTCAAGCTCACATACATGCAGCTGTATGATCGCATTCATTTAAGCAATCAATAATTTAGTAATTTCAAATATATAGTTTGTTTATTTATATAATTAATTTGCGATCAAACTGTAATTATTAAACTAAAAAATGTATGCCTGCCGGAACCCTTAACCGATGAGTTGTCAAAATAGGCTTTTATATATGAGATTATCTTGATCTCAGTATCTTTTTCTTGAGTCACAGGAAATTTTTTTTCAAACTTAAAAATTTGATTGACATCATACAATAGTGATAATTTTTTGTAATGTCAAGATGTCATCTGAAATATGTTTACGTATATACCACGATTGCCACTTCAAAAAAATTATAGGCCAAATTTTTGAAACAAAAAAGAAATATTTAGGAAAAAATAGCTAAAATTTATAATGTTATTCTTAATTTTAGAAATAAAATACTTACTTGTAGTCTAATTTGAAATTAACTTAAATTTCTACTTGTTTACTTCAAATTTTACATTATATTGTTATTCTTAGTCTATACATTATATTGCTATTCTGTCATTGTATGCAGTCTACAGAAATTTCAAGATATGTATGAAATTTGAAGTGAAACCTTTAGCAAAACATACCTACATGTATATGCAAAAATATGTATAAGCTAACATGAAAGTTTTTGAAATTTTTTCAATATTTTAAAACAAAAATATAACCTAATAAAGAAAAATAAATGGTAATATTAAGTCCGTATTATTCTGAGCATTATGACAATACATTTCACAATCTATAACTTAATTTTAAGTTCTTGTTATATTTTTATAATCAAATTTTATATAAAAAGAAAAAAAGTGAAAGTTTTCGTCAGGATTAAGAAAATGAGCCAAGTAAACTAACTACGAAAAATAAATGAGCCATTGTTATATATTATGAATCTAACTGATATGTTGGTCGAGAAGGAAAACATGCAATTTCGCTGTAAGGTAAACAAAATAATTTTTATTAGACCTTTATTACCTCGTTTAAGTTGAAAACAGAACAAGAACGATTTTCCGCGCCGAACTGTTAGAATCCATATAGAATACTACACATAATTTAAATTGGACAGACTAGGAGGAAGTTCAAATATTTGTAACTATGTTTTCTCAAAAAAGTTTATCGTTAACTATTGAAAAAGTTAATGCAAACACATTCAAAAATTCTATAACAGAGACCGTATTGAATTTTAAATCAGTTATTTTGTTCAAGAACAAGGTTTGTCAAATATCATTATTTAATTTCTACTAGACGTATTAATTTTAATGTATATACTTTAAACATGTACTTACCTAGTTTTTTAAAAATTATTTTAAGTAGTCTCGAATCTTATTGTTTATTAAAAATGAAGTCAGTTAGTAATTTTTGTATATTTTCGTGAAGAGTTGAAGAACGTTATGGTACGCCGCTTTACGTGAAAATAGTTAACGCATAAAACCTGGCGGTTTGTAGTAGTACTTTAATTATTAGTCTATGGCAGTACTAAGAGGAAAAGGATATTGTTTTAAAATTTATTAAAGCTCGATTTCACTGTTTCCTTTTTCAGTGTTTCGTAAAAGTACGCCATTACTTTTTTATTCGTTGAAGAGTAAAGTTGTGGGAGTTAAAAAAATTGTGATTTTAATTGTGAAGAATTTAGAAGGAAGTAGTTGAATTTTAGCAAATTGAGTATTGAGTTAAAATTTAGATTCTTAAATATGGAAGTAAAAACAGAAAATAATGGGACTCCTTTACCACAAAGAATAAAACAAAACGCTAATCAGCCTGAAGCGGAAGAGAAGAAGCCACGTTTTGGGAATCAAGGTGGTCAAGGAAATCAAGGAGGCGGGAATGATCAAGGAAATAGAAATGCGGGTGGTGGAGGTGGTGGAGGAAACCGCAATCAGAACCGAGGAAATAGATTTGGAAACAGAAATCAAAATATGGGTGGAAGAGGTGGAAATATTAAAAGCGAGGTATGTAGGAAAAAACAAAATGGCGTAGTACAATTTGATTAAATTATATGGTTATGATAAATTTTACGAATATAATATCATTTGTGTTTTTATATGACAATCACATGTCTTGTAAAAACCTAAAAGCCATTATTTTTCGAATTAATGAAAACTAAAGATGGCGTTCATTAAAAGTATGTATGTATATTGAATTTATTCTCACACACAAATTATTGTGTTCATATACATTGTATACATGTACATTATATTACATAAAAGGAAGGAGCTGTTTTTATAATAATTTTATTATTAATCCTGACTTCGAAATTGCTAATGATTCTATGTTCTGTACATTTCATTAGCTGGAATGTGCGATAATAGAAGCACTGGAAAGAGAAGTCGGGATATCTACATTTTATGGACTTTTTGTAATTCGTTAATTGTTTCACAGAATGATATTCCAAACTTAATGGACGGACTTGATAATCGTGGGGGAAATGATCGTGATAATAGGGATAATCGTGGCAATGACCGACGTGGCCAACGAGGTGGTGGAGGCGGTAATCGCCGTGACAATATGAATGATGATCGTGGCAATTATAGAGGAAAGGGTGAAGATCACATAATGAATTCAAAATTGAAAGCTTTAGCAGGACCAACACATGAATTGCCTCCTATTGATACAGTAGAAACTAAATTTTCAGGGAGAAACCGCTTATATATTGGAAATTTGACAAATGATGTTACAGAAGAAGAACTAAAGGAATTATTTAAACCATACGGAGAGATTGCTGAAGCATTTATAAATGCTGAGAAAAACTTTGCGTTTTTGAAAGTAGATTATCATGCAAATGCAGAAAGAGCGAAACGGGAGTTGGATGGTTCAAATCGTAAAAACCGTCAATTACGTATACGTTTTGCACCAAATGCTACAATTGTGCGTGTAAAAAATCTAACGCCATATGTTTCCAATGAACTGTTATTTAAAGCTTTCGAAATTTTTGGTCCGGTCGAAAGAGCAGTAATAATTGTAGACGATCGTGGCAAACCAACTGGGGAAGGAATCGTTGAATTTGCTCGAAAAGCTGGCGCTTCTGCAGCTATTCGCGCTTGCACAGAAAAATGTTTCTTTTTAACAGCATCTCTTCGACCATGCGTTGTTGAACCCTTTGAAATAAATGATGATACTGATGGTATGCCAGATAAATTAATGAACAAAAAAACTCAAGAATTTTCCAGAGAACGTCAAGTTGGGCCAAGATTTGCTGAGCATACTTCATTTGAGCATGAATACGGTACCAGGTGGAAGCAATTGCACGAATTATTTAAACAGAAACATGAGTCATTAAAAAGAGAATTACAAATGGAAGAAGAAAAACTAGAAGCTCAAATGGAGTTTGCTCGTTATGAGCATGAAACGGAACTATTAAGAGAACGTAAATAGTTTTATTGTTTGATTGTTGCCAAGCAACTAATTTTTTACTTAAATGTAGAATTACGTAAACGGGAAGAGGACCGTGATCGCCAAAGAATGGAATGGGAAATGAGACAGCGTCAACATGATGAAATGAGGAACAGAGAAAGTGATCATCTCCGCCGCCAGCAAGAAGAAATGCAAACAAGATTAAACAGGCAAGATGAGGAAATGAAACGCCGCCAACAGGAAAATACTTTGTTTATGCAAGCCCAACAACTTAACTCTCTTCTTGATCAACAAGAATTCGGCGGAGGTGGTGGTCCTGGAAATGGTCCAGATGGAGATGACTTTAACAGAGGAGGTGGCGGAGGTGGCAATCGCGGAGGCAATTTTGGAAATGATAATTTTGGAGGTAAATTTTTTAAAACATTTTAAAAGTTTTTTTCTTGTTTATTTTTTTTTTTTGTTTTTGTTTTTCTTTTGAGTTTTGAATTAATTTCCTTTTATTTTTGATTTTGTTTTTCTTTTGCAAAAAAAAAAAAAAAAAAAAAAAAAAGGTTTTTTAAATGGAAAATCTTTTCCAGCTGGAAACAATCAAAACAATAACGGGCCAAATCAGGTATGTTATTTTAATATTACTCCTTAAAATAAAAATTCTGGGAAGAGAAAACTTATTTCAATAGCAATTAAAAACTGCCCTGTATAACAAGTTTTTCTGATTATCCTTTATGTCAGTGGTCTTTTTCTTTATAAAAACTAAAACTACTATCTACATAAATATTTGAAAACTAACTTTCTATAATATAAAACTAATGTTTTTGAATAATTCTCGAATTTCTCAAAAAAAAAAAAATATAAACTCATCATGAGTTACCAATCCTAGACCACTGAATAACGTTAAGATTTTTAATGAAAGAAAATGAAAAGTCTTTGACAAATCAAAAGTTTCACATGTAAATTATTCAAATTCTCTAATTGGGTACTAATTCTGGCCAAATTTTTGCCTAATCATTTGATTTTGAATAATGTTCTGTGAAATTAAACTTAGTAACATATTAAATTTATGCTTTATAATAAAATTATTCTCAGCATTATAACACTTATTATATTCAATATGAGATATTCTCAAATTTATTACTTCATCAATGTTTTTTTTTTTAATGAGCTGTACATATGTTTATTTATAATCGTAGTAAAACCTCTCTTTGTAAATCAACTTTCTCCATACATATATTTCTTTGAAATAATAGCTCTGGAACAAAATTGTATTTTGTGTAACAGATTTACTTACTAAGCCTTAATATTTTTGTTATACATATATATTTTCTTAACAATGGTTTTCATATGAATGGTTTCTTGGCAAAAAAAAAAAAAAATTAAGAATAAATCTAAAATTGTCTCGTTATTTTGATTAAATAATTTAAAATGTAAAATGTTGTTACATACATATTTTAAATTATTTAAAGCAATTCGTATCAATATTAAGTCAATAAACTAGTAATTAAATTGTAACCTATTTGATTTTTAATTTATTTTTTCTGATATTATGATGAGGTGTATGAAATAATGAAATATTCTATTAGTGTTTTTATAATATAATTTAGTAGTAGAATAAGATATATAATATTATTATGTTCTCTCCGTTTTCATAATGAGGTCCCTTATAAATAATCTCACTACTGAAAATGTAAGCTGGAATGTAATGCTACATCATACATGAACTAATCTTGAAAAATAAAAGCGTTCACTGACAAAATGTGAAAGAAATAATTCGAAAAAAAAAAATCAAAAAACTTTGAATTTTGGTTTCGATAAAATTTACATTCTATTGAAAAAGTCATAAACTTAATATAGAAGTAATTTTGAAAAGTAAAACCTTAATGCCAACGAGCAATAGCTATGAAGCTCAAAAATGTAGACATATGAGTTTTGGACAACATGTTCAACAATTTTTCTTCCCATGAAATCCCATGTTCGCTAAAGATTTATGTATGTAAAAAAATTTAGCTAAAAATTTTATGGATAAATTAGTTTTATTTTTACAAGAAAGTTTTGAAAGGAAAATTAATTAACAATAACCAAAATGAACAATATCAATTTTTAATTATCATTAAGCAGTTTCTAAATGATTTTAAAAAGTTTTGATCGGCAAATATTTAAGCTTTCCTCAATTGAAATTTAATTTTTTTGCTTTAAATTGAATATCTACCAACCATCTTGAATAATTTCAATTGATTATCGTACTGCTGCTGGTAATTTGATTAAAAAAATTTAAACTTGTAAAAAATTTTTTATTTGCTATGTAGGAAACATTTTTTTTTTTTTTCCTTTGTTCACTCCTAGAAGGAGCATAGGGCTAGTGCATGATTTCTCATGCACTAGTTTCATAGCGTCATAAGGTTTAACTAGGTAGGTGACTAGCCTGCCGTAGATGTAGGAAACATAACTTGTAATAAAGGGCAAACAAAAAAAAATTATCTCATTCTTTATTTTTGTAATTTGTTTATTGTTATTTAGTGTCAAACAAATAATTGTTAAGTTTACATTTTTGAGTCAAAACTTTTTGATTGGATCAATAATTTTTTGTGTATGCCTATAAAATTTATGCAATTTAATGGAAAGTCCTTCTATATATGCATATAAAATCTAAATAATAAATGAATTCAAGATTATTGTAAGATATTGTACTTTCATAAAAAATAGTTGTTTTATATGTTCAATTAATGTCACTTTATTTTCAACCTTTTCATGTACATATAAGACATAAGTACGCTTCTTCATTTTCTCATTTATATAAGCTATATTTTTCAATTATATTTAAACAATTCGAACACTAAATCAATTTTAAAACTGGTATTTTACTTAATAGTCTTTGTATGAAAAGGTGATTTTTGTTTTCGATTGCACAAAATAAAAACATCGACAGTTTAATTGAAACTGAACTTAAAAGAAAAGGTTTTTCAAAATAATTTTTAATTCTCTGTTTGGTTTTATGAAGACTTGATTAGAAAATGAGAAATTGAGCCTTTTTAGGTAATTTGATTCTAATTAAATATTAAGCCGATAATATTATATTTTAGGTAATTTGATTCTAAATAAATATTAAGCGAATCCCATTAAAATAAATCGAATTACCAAAAAGAAAAATTGTTTATATTAAAAATGCTCATTAAATACTCATTACTTAAACCACATAAGATGGCTTAGTCCGAAAAATCTCGACTATATTAATATTTTCATAGTAAATATGTTTTTGTTTGACAAAACCAATTTTTTTTTCTCTCCATGATATAATCCGATAAAGAATGTAATTTACCAAGAAATAACACACAATACTTTTAACACTTTAATCGGCCTTTATAAAGGTTTTAAAAACGATGCTAACTTTAGCATCTAATAATGAAGTTATAAACATTGTGTTATTTTAGTTTTTTGTAAAAAATTTCAATATTAAATTACGGAGATTATGTAGATTTTCCGTAATATAAAGTATTTATTTTTAAAATTTCTTTGAGTAAGGAAGTATTTTATTTTATTGTAATTAAGAATAAGTATAGTGTGATTTGTGTAAAAAATATTTTTTTTAATTTCGTGTCAAAATTTTGCAATTTTAGCTGTTCTTAAATATACAAAAAATTAAAACTTTGTTGTGTTGAGTATATAGCAATATGCTTTTTTTTCGAATATAACATTTTGAATTTAATCAAATCATCTTTTTTTTATTAACAATACGTCCAATAGTGCCACATATATAAATATAATATACTATGGGATATATCCCTATACGAATGGCTTAAAAAGAAAGATAAAAATAATATTACTTACAATACATATTATTATAGCTAGTGCAATATTGTAAAATGTAAGGCAATAAATTCATTATTTATAAAATTATAAAGTGCATCTCATTTTACGGTTTCAATTTAATTTAAAAAAAAATTATTGTGCTGAAAAATAAATTTCGATTCCATTTTAAAGAAATTAAACTCCATTTATAAGTTTGAAGTATTAAGTCTTATTTAAAAAAAAATTGTTTTTTATTTCACTTGTTCATTATATCATATATATTCGCATATTATTATGCACATAAAGGGTTATTGAATAAATTTAATAATTGTATTATCACAATTTAATAATCACAATCACAATGAATTATCTTTTTATAATCACAAAACACAATGAATATTTCAATGTAATATAAGTTTTAATAGTTCAAATTCTTTTAGTAAATACAAGTTAAAACTGAATAAAACATTGTGCTGAACTGCTAAATAAGACGGGCGCTAATTTAATTTTGGAGATTTTTAATTTTTTCTGGTAGTAAATAACTGAATAAAACAAATATAAACAAGATATCAAAATGCATTCTCATTTTGATTTTATTGATTTGTTTATTTTTGTTAAAATGTAGAATATGTACTTTGGATTTGCATACGCTTAAGACCACACATTATTCAAGATTTATACATGTTTATATATAATTTTTCTACAACTATTTTCTAAACTAACGAGTCGAGTTTTCCTACTTCAATTGCTAGTCGATTTATATACATATATTGTTACAAGAATTATTCTGTCAAAAATACAAATTTATTTCGAATAGAATGTACATAATTTGTTTACATCTTAATTTGAAATTAGGAAAAAAAATTTATATTTTAAATTATTCTCAACCTATTTAAAATTATATGGATGTCAGGTCGAAATTTTGTTTGAAAAACTTTATTAAACTAAAGTAAGAAAGTATAGGGATTTAAATAGGAAGGATATGCAAATTACAATTAAAAAATATTGTCGATACTGTTTTGATTGCATATGGTGCTTTTAAAACATATGTTGTTACAGTTACTTGCGTTTATACCCCTATTGCTAGAAAATTTTCAAATTATAAAATGTTCCTTTTTTTTGTGTTGTTATGATCTATGGATCCGTTATATTAGGTGCTTAATGGAAAATTTATTGTCTGGTTTATGAGTACATATAAGAAGTATATTGAATAACACTTTGTATTCGATTTCAATGAAAAATTACAAATTAAGTTTATTAAATGATTTTATTTTTGATGACCATAATTCATAATAGAAATTAAAGATAAACTTTCTTTACAAAACATGTTTGTTGTTATTTGTCACTTTATTTAATATATTTACAAAAGAGAGGTTTTACTTTGCAACACTACTTATGAATTGTTTATATAGGAATTTTTTTTTTGTTTTAAGATATGGATTTTGGGTATTTTTATATAGCTTATATAAAATTTTGTTTTCACAGAATTGAAAAAAAACATGCAAATTAAAAAATATATGAGAAATTAAACAAAAACTCTATTTTTGTTTTCGTTTTGCTTTGTTTTCGATTTTCGAAATACATGTACAATATAATTGACTAAAATCTGATTCCAATTATCAATCGAAACAAAAAACAAAAACAAAAAAACAATATTTTTTTCACCCTTCTCAATAATCTAGGATCAGGGATTTATGCCAGGAGGATTTGATTTTGGTAATCAAAATAATCAGCAACAAAATCAACAACAAGGTGGTAATGTTGGTGGACCTAATCAAAGACAGGGAATGTCCCGTTGGAATGATCGTCGTAATAATGGTGGTGGCGGAGGAAATGAAGATTTCCAAAACAAAAGACGACGTTTTTAAATGAATTTAGACAAAACAGAAAAAAGCAGAAAAAAAGTTTAATATTCAAAAATCATTTTGAAATGACCATTTTTATAGAAACTTCATTACCTAAAAAAAATTAGCTTCAAACTTAGCTAAAATTTTATCCCATTTATAAATGTCTAATTAATGTCATAATTTTCATCAAATTGATGTGCAACAAATGAAAGAATTTGCTAAAGTTCTTTAAAAAAAAGTACTTTTTATTCAATATTTGATCACTGAAAAGCTAAACAGTATAAGATTTTATTTTTTTTGGTTTAGAATTAAGAATTTTTTAAATTTAATTTTGACGTGTTTTTACTTTTTAAGCTGTCTATATCGTATTAAAAATTACATAAATTACTTTCATTCTATATTATCATTCATTATATACAAAAAAACATTAGTTTTAAATACTTTATTTAGTAAATTATTAAGATTAAAAATATTTTAAATTACAAATAAGAAATTACAATAAAATATTGTAACATCTAACTTTAGAATGCAATACATAAAAAATATCTCACTCTGTTTTTCTATTTTTTATTTCTTTTATAATTATATTTAAAAGTTTTGTTTTTCTCCTTATAACGATTTTCTTGTCTTAATAAAGAATTTAGTTGTGTGAAATACAGGCAATCGGTTTGAAAACCTAATTAATTACAAATTTTAAATTTATTTTATAACTCAAATTCTCTGAACAATTTTTCTTAAAAAAATTAATATATATACATACATACATATTTATTGAACAATTATTTAATATAATTTTTAGTTTACCAAGAGCAATAGTATATTTATTACAAATGCAGATATTTAAAATTATAGAAGAGGCAAGAGACAGTTTAGATTTAGAAACCAATAAAATTATTTTAGGTAATATTTTAGCTAAAAACAGCTAATCTGAGTCAATTGTTAAAATAAATAATTATAAATATGAATTTATATTTATTCATATTGAATAATTAGTCCAGTGAATACGAATTTTGATGCAATCGGTATTACACATTTATTTTTAAATTAATATAAATTTATATTAGTGCTTAGCGTATAGTGCTTTAAATGTGTTACACGAATTCGATGTGTAACTTTTTAAGCATTTGCTCTAAAATGATTTTACTTTTAAAAATACAAAATATTATGTGATTTTAATTTACAGTTTTGGATTATATACATTTAATAATTCAATTTTACTTTAATATTTTTAGTCCAGTTTTTTAATTGTTGGTAAAATTATGTATGTGTTAAGGGAAAAAAATGCAATTATTGTTGGAGACTATTAAAATTGATGAAAGTTTTTCTTTTATTTTTGTCTACTCGCGTATTATTATATATTATATTATGTATATTATATATTACATTATATTATATTATATTATATATATTATATATGAATTATGTACTATATGTTATATATCTATAGATTTATAATCATATATCACATCTTATATAAACAATCATATATCACATATTATATAAACATATATATATATATATATTATATACTATATATTATATATGCTTATATGGTATATATTATTATATACATACTACATATTAAATATGTATTATATATTATAATTTACATACTAACAAAATTTCGAAAATAAAATATATTTTAAACATTGTCATTTGAATTTATAAGGTTATTACTGAATTATCGAATTCAAAGTATAGCAAGTACTTTTTTAGTGTGTAGCTTAGTAGGGGTTATATATATATAAATAAAACCACCAATTGCATGGTATGTTTATCGGAATATCTTATATGTATTAGGTCGGAATATAGAAATATGTTAAATTTATAGATTTAATCTTCTAGGACAAGTGATATACTGTCAAATTATCACATTTTAATGTGATTGGGATTTAACTCTAATTTTGCAGGTCCTTTAGAGTGTATTTTATATGTTTATTAAAAATTAATTGTGCATATAATGAATATTGGAAAATCTAAATGAAATTTAAATGAAGCAATTCTTGGATTCATGTAATATTTGTATTATGGAACTTTGAAATGGAAATTTTTGCGTAATAAACATTATATTATAGCGATTGACCTTTTTACATTACATATTTGATTGATGGTTTTTCAAGTTTTTGGAAATTTTGAAATATTGTTAACTGGAATTTTTTATAATCATTCATGAAGGAAGTGTTTACATAATTGTTTAAACGAAAAAATGTTTACTTGAAAAAATCATTTATCTTTAACGAATCAATTTAGTTTTACTATTTCACCATTATATATAAAATCAACTTGAAATGAAAAATAAAAATCTTGTGTATCTCTTTTTTTATAGAGGTAAGAATTTTATTAATATAAATTTTATATTTTGATCGTATATTGTAATTAATTTAACCTAAGTCTTAAATATTATATAATATATACATTTTAATTTTTTTTTTGTAACCTAGATATGCCAGATAGTGCTACAAGAATATTTTTCAATTTACTAACTCTATAATTGTGTAATAAATTTCTTGAATTTGTAAGGTACATATTATAGATTAATTAATGTGAATGCGGGATTGAAAAAATTTTAGTATTTCGACAAAAAAAAAGCGTGTATAAAAAAAATCACTTTTTTTGTTTACACTGCAAAATATTTTTAATATTTAGAAAATATTCATGAAATTTTCGTCGATACCACGAATTATGTTAATAAATACAAAATTTATGTCGTATTTTACAATTACTTTTAATTTAAAACTTGGCTTATGAACAACTACCACAGAAATTTGTTTTATTTTACAATTTATTGAGTACATGTTATGTAATGTGTATCGAGATTTCAACTTGATTGCTTACTGTTTTCAAAAATAATTTTATTGAAATATAAAAAAAAAATAATTTCAAAGTTAAGCAGTATTTAATATAAAAATGAATACAATATGTGCACATGATGATCGTAGAACCAATTTACATATTTAATATTTAACTTTGTCCAACAGATTGATAATAACATCAGATTTTGAAACATATTATCAAAAAAAGTTACAAATCTAAATCCTTTAGAAATCAATTAAATATCTCATAATCAAATGCTAACATGTAAATTATTTTGGTTTGAATTTTCTTTCTTATTACTACTCACTCACATTATTTAGTGATAGTCTGTAATTCAATGTTGATAAAACATAATTGTTATACATACTCAAATTGGCATATCTGGGAATATATCTTGATCAAAATTATTTATAGTAACATGATATGTGCATATTAAGGCAAAGCTAAAATGTTACAAAATTAAATTGACAATTTTGGAAAATAAGTTGGATAATATTGATTATATAATTCAAATTAGTTTGTTTAATGTTGTTTTATAACAACCATTCTTGCAGAAATAATATCTTCTTTGGAAATTTTTTATTAATTGTAATGTTGTGTTGTTTTGCAAATTATAAATTATATTTTATAAAATTTAAACTATACGATTTTAGTACAAGTTTTTTAGTGACATATTACTATTTTTGATTATCTATATTGCAGCTATATTTTTATTATAGAAATAAAAACATTTTTACATTGTAATAATGATTATTCTTGATTGTGCATAAAAAATACTCACAAATTTTCTTGGAATTGCTATTAAGCAAAATAAATTCCAAAGTTCTGTGTGATTTTTAGTTGTTTCAATTTTGGGAAACTGAATATTTTTGTCAATTTTTTTTTGTATTTTTATATTAAAATATATTTTACATATATTATTCTCGTTAATTTTGTTGGAAATTTATTTCGAACTTTATTTATATAAAAATTTTTGTTTCAGATTTATTGCTTTTTACTTTTTTGTGGACTTCTTATCATAAAATTCTTAAACTATGTGCAAAATATATTTATACTTTATTATGAGATACATTAGTATAAATGACTTGGATAATTCAATAATATAGTTAATTTGTTATTTATATGATATTTTATATATTGTTTGTGTGCATACACAAATATTTTGTTTATATTAATTTAAATTATACTGAAAACATGTTGCTGAAGTCAAGAATTATCTTTTTCATTGTTAAAGTTTATTCTCTTTTCCATCTTAAATCGTTAATTTACTAACAATACGAAAAATATATTTTGGTGTCTTTGTAAAAATTTCTTTTATGGCAAATTTTTAATAATTTCCGTAAAGGAGAGCAAATCCATGGAAAAAGAAGATTATTTGTCGTACTAAATATTTTTATAGTATTACTTAAAAATAATTTTTTAATGAAGAAAATAAATTCTGTTTCTGGACGGACTTCTGGTTCAAATCTTAAGTTTTATTCTAAAGAGGTTCTTTATTAAAATTATTTTTAATATCAAATAATTTTTTGATAAGATATATATATAAGGCGTTTTAAAACTGATATACTATGAACATATAATATTTTGCTAAAACTTATTGTCAACTTTTGCTCATTTGAAGTAATTAATATGTTATTATTTGCAAATTATGTGTATAATATAATAAATAACCATTATTGGATTGTTTAAAAAATTATCTAATTGATTGATTTTCAATATAGAAAAAAATATGGGGTGAAAATTTAGTACTGAAAAAAAAAATATTTTCTATGTTAAAAAAAAAAAATTGTTATATTGTCATCTTATATAATTAATGTTATTAAACTGATTATTTACCATCAATTGTCAATTTTACCAACAACTTATATATAAATTAGTTGAAAATATTCAAGTTAATTTATTTAATAAATTACTGTTGCTTTTTTAAAAAACTGTCATAAACTTTTAAATACTTTAAGAAAAATTTTGTTTCACAAATTTTATAATTTTTTAAGTTTATTATTTTATTTTATAATATGATAAATTAAAAAAGTTTTGTGAAATAAGACTTTCAAGAGAAGCAAAAAGCCTTTATTTTTTTTTTTTTGATATGTTAATTTTTTAAGATGAACACTCACATTTATGACTAGTTGAAATATATCTAATGTAATTTTATAATTTCAGAAACATCGTCTAGAGGTGACCGGGGTTATTGTATCATTCAATATTGCAGGTAAATCTATTTAAAGTACTAAGTTCAACATAATATGTATGTACTTAATATCCATAATTAGAAGTATTTTTCGTATATACTTCCCACATTTGAAAATTCGTAATTTCCAAAATGATACAATATTACTATATTCTGCGTTTTTCACAAATCAGTTTAGTTTAGTACTGAATGTGTTATATCTTTTACAATAAATTACTGCACGTGATGACCAAAAATTTGATTGATAATGCGGTACTATTTCTTCGTTTTGTTTTATAACTGCATGTTAAGATTTTTAAGAGTTACGCGCAACAATTACGCGTTTTGATTTTACTGGCGCGAAACTATTTAGATTTAGGATTTATTATTTAGAATTTAAATTTTGCTTTTACTTTAATTGAAAATTTTCATTTATAAGTTAACTGAAAATGATAAAATATTTAATATTGTGATAGCGTTTTAGAAACTTTAACAAGCATATGACAATCTTAAAACTTTCACGACTAAAAAAACATTTTGTTAAGCTAATGTCAAGTTTTTGGCCGTATCTTTGTCTTTCTTTTGTCTAAGTTATTTAAGTTGCTCTAAGTTAGAAATGTGAAAGCAAACTGCATTATCAAAAACAGTCAATGCAATACAATGTAGCAATTTATACAAAATAAATTAAAATCACTTAAAGTGGTCTTTAATTTCTTTTTGTTTTTTTCTTTTACGGTCGTTTTTAAAGTTTTAATACGATATTAATACTACGGGTTAACTGTGGTAAAACTTTTTTGTATCATTTGGGATGCCAAAAATTTTCTTTTTTCCTAGCTTCCTATAAACGAGTGACTAAAAAATTACATTTAAGATTGAAACAAAAATTTAAAATAATAAGTTAGATTTTTTTCCTTTTTTTTTGTTTTTTTTTTTTTTTTTTTGTAGTAGTAATTGTAAGATCAGATTTTTTTTCAAAAAAATTTCTTAAATTAATTTCAATTGAAAATAGAATTACATTATTTTGTTAAAAGATATTTTGATATTCACATTGAAGAGCTTAATATGATGATTTCATTTGACACCTCTTATGAAAGTCGGTGATTACAAAAATAATGATAATATAATTTTCTGATAAAAAGCAAATGAAAAAAATTAAATAATTTTTTCTTGAACAATTTTGACCAACAATGGTTTTGTAACGCTTTGATTTTATTTTTTACAGGCATGATTCTAATTTGAAACAATTTGACTAAAAATTGAAGACTAATATAAATTGAAGAGAAGTAACAAAAGAACTTCATGGAATATAATATACCAAGTAAAATTAAAAGTGAGTTTATTTTACGGAAATTTAAATGAAATTAAAAGTAAATTATTTAGTTATGAGCTTCAAAAATTAAAAATCTTAACATTTAAAAGTTAAAATTTGAATTAAATCTTTTTTGAATTAAATTGTATTAAAGAAAAAATTTATAATAGCAACATGGAACTCCAATAACTTTCTTAAGAATTACTTGCTAATAATTTTGTTAAGAATTACGAGAAATGTTTCAAAATTTCCAGATTGCTATTAATTAATACAGTTTTTTCTATAACTTATGCTAATTTTTGATTAAATACATACATATATTGATTTTTGATTACTAATTTTGCGTCTTGATGTATAGATTTAATTGTTCATGTAGAATTTTTTGGAAATTCTTCAAAATATTAGTGTTATTTTGCTTTGTACATTATTTTATGATGAGTTTTTCATTGACACCTCTTATGAAAAGTGGTGATTATAGAAATAATGATAAATTTTTTCTGATAAAAACATCCAAATTATTTTTAATTACATTCAATAGTAAATTTATCTAAATAGTTATTTTATTTTTTTGCAGGGTTCGTTTAAATTTCTAAATTGGCAAATAAATTGTGAATAACCCAGAATAAATATGTGCTCTGCAAAAGGTAATAATTTTAATTATTATAATAAAAAATATATCATAAATGTATTTCAAAACTTAAATTTTCTGGTAAGCCACTATGATTATAAAAATTTTACGGATCTAATTTCTGAATTGTGCTTGAAGATCATAATTTTAACTTACCTACATTATATGAGTGGTTTTACCAACAAAAAATAATATTTACAAAAATATTTATAAAATTGTTCAAAATATTTTACCTAAATTTTTTAACTATATTTTAGTTTTTGAATAACATATTTCCAATTAAGGTTAAAAACTTCTTTTACTTAATTTATTTTGGAATGGATATACTTATTCCTTCACACTCTTTTTTTTTTGTTGTAATTCAATAATTTTTGTTTATTAACTTCAACATAAAGTGTTGCTAACCTTTTTACATTAAAAATTTTTAAATCATTCTTCTATTCAAAAATTGATTGAAATTTCCGAGCTTTGTTTCTAATGGAACATTGTGTGTGTTCAATTCGTAGCTATGGTAAAACTAAAGTTATGTAATGAAATCGTTAAAATTTTTTTTAGACATGCTAATATAAAAAGTACGGTTAAAAGTGAGAAAATGGAGCATCAGAATGGCTTCATTTAAAAAATGAGCAATAAAACTTGAGGAAGATAACAATACATTCTGGTCTAGAAGCTTTTTAATAGTACAATTAAATAGAAGACCTACAAGACACGTTGAGTTCAAAAAGGAATAAATCAAAACCCGGGAGGCATGGTTTTTGATTTCTGAAATAAACGAAAGCTGAAATGGGGTGATGCAACCTGATATGTTTTTTAGTTTGTTCAGAAAGGAGTTTATTTTGCTTTTTAAGAGTGCGGTTAATAAATATTGAAGATGGATTTTCAATTAACTTTTTACTTAAATGCAAGTACAAATGGATTTTCATTATGATGGATTATAAATTGTTTATCGGGAAAGCTAAGTATTTTGTATAGATAAAATTTTACGCAAAAATAATAAGGCCTCCGATAAACGAACAGAAATCTATCCTAAATGAAAATTTCCGAGAATACATTTACCGTGGTTTTAACTTCAAAAACTACGTTTCAATATAATACAAAGATTGAAAACAAGTTTTTGAATAGAACCGGTAATAGTTCATATTAAAGGTAGTAATGGTCTATGAAGGCGCATAGTTCTATAAAATATAGCTTTGTGCCATGAGATCGATTTATTTGAATATCATTTGCATTAAAGAGAATATAGGGCTATTTATAGCGGTATTCGATTCTCTTTAAAGAAAAAGTACGTCTTTTATGGTGTGGACTTGTTAAGACCATATAATGTCTTCTGGTCCACGAATTACTCGGGGGAATGATAATGGACCTCTGATAGGGAATCAAACAGTAGGTCTCAAAATTATCGATCTTCCCTCGCATAAATTCGAGGATAAAAGGATGTCCTCAGTAATAGCTTAGTTTTCAGATATTTGTTTTGATAAACCGAAGCACATCATTCATGGTGTTGGCCTGTTATGACAATAAAATTTCAGCTGGCCTAAGCATATTCGGGGAAGGATAATGGACCTCTGATAGGGAATCAAACAGTTGGTCAGAATTTTATCAATCTTCCCTCGTATATTTATTTCAGAATAAAAAGGAATCATTCAATTTCCAGATCTGATGGGTAAACTTTGTTTTGCTCTTTCCTTTGTATGAGTTATCCAATTCAAATTCAAAAAGTTTTACAAAATATTTTTAATTGTTGTTCAGTTTCTTTTTAACTAAGTTTGAAAATGAAACTGAAGAAGAAACTGAAAATTAAATTAAATCCATAAAAAAATGTTTCTTTAAAAAAAGATATACGCACATATTTAAAAACACCAAACATAGAAAATATTTATTCATTTTGTATAATTTAAACTTCTAAGTTGTTTTCTTTGTCTTATATTAACGTATTGGTACTTAAATTTGTAATATTTTTCAAATTTTTAAACTCAATTTTCTGGTATGGGTGGTTGGTTTTCAAAATTTTTTTTAATAAATTCACCAACCGGGAGGGTGGTGGGCCCATACCCCTCACGATAGGATTATCAACCTAAATAAAATTATTAAGCTGAGCTTATTTTATTTTCTAAATTATATTTACGTGTTATAAATTTTATCGATTTTTTGGACATAGTTTGTGAGTAAAGAAAAATATTTTTGTAAAGTATCTATTTTTTGTAAGCAAAATATGAAAAATTTAAATAAATTTTTTATTAAAATAAATTGTAAAATTTAACTTTAATTATTTTTTTTTTCTGGCAATTACGAAATGAAGAAAGCAACTTTGAATCCTAAACATTTTGGTTGCAGGTAAGCTCATCAATATCATTTTTTTTTTTTGTTTTATTTACACGATGATTAAAAAAAAAATACGGATCTAATTACTGAGCCGGTCATGATGATTCTTTATTTTTACCTACATTATATGAGTGCTTTTAATAATATATAAACTTTTTTGATTTCAAACTCCTTATGTTCCGACACGTTAAATAGTTGTGAGGTAAATGGGCATTATATTGAAATACTGTAAGGTAACTCAATATTTCTCACTTCAATATGTAATAACAGATTTTGATAACGGTTAAAATTTAAATGTTTCAAGTTTTAAGAAAAACATTAACCTTAATTATTTTATTTATATGTATGTATTTATGTCTAAATATGTATATATTTAACAAATATCTAAATTACTTTTTAGAATACACTAATTTGAAGAAATTATAAAAATTTATCTTTTCATACATTGCAATAATAAAAATTATTGCAATGTATGAAAATAATTATAAAAAAACTAATAAACATTGTGCGGAAGGAAAGTACTTCAAACATTAATTGTCAAATTAAAAAATATATAAATATAAAAAATATTAAAAGAACTTTTTCCTTAGTTTTGAATTACTTTATTATTGTTGTTTATTTTCGAATTGAACAAATTTGACTTTTCGGAACATAAGTTTGATTAAAATATATATATTAAGAGGTATCGAAAAAAATATTCAAAAAGAAATCTAAAAAAATTTTTTTTTTCAGTTTCTGTGTAAATACCTTCATATGTTTAAAGGGCGGATATTTTTGCTAACTTGTAAGTAATATTGCTCTAAGTATTGTAAAAACTTTGTTGTTAGAAAATTAAATTTCGATTTGCTTAAATTTATTAGAAACAAATATATTAAAATAATTTTAATAGAAAATTTATGATGAAAATAATTACCGTATGATATTGTTGATTTAATAAGGCTGTATTATTACTGAAATTTCCAACTAATTATTATTTAAAACTCATTCGGTTGCGTTGTTAATTTTGGTAATATTTTCAGATCAGCTTGTAATTGGGAGACTGTGTTTTCTGATAGTGAAGAAAATTTTTTTGTACAGGTAGGTAAGCGTTATTTCAAATATAATTAAAATAATAAATAATACATTATTTTTAATTTCCCATAGATAGAAATAGGAAGAAGATTTTTAAGTTTTATTGAAATAGTTACTAATAAATTATCATTTTAATAAATTTTATGATTTTTTAAGCAAATGTTAAAAATTCGATGTTGAGTTGTACTGTAAAATTTAGATATTAACTGAAAAAAAAAGCATTTAAACCTTGTAAAAACAATCAATTATTCAATAAGCAAATAACATTTTTCTAAGGGATCAGTAAACAAAATAATTTTATTAAATTTCATACCCTCGACTTCATTTACATAATAAATTACAATTTGCTTGTTTTTATTTAAATAAAACATTCAAGAGTTCAACTTTTAACATTTTAATTACAAAAGGGAAATTAAAGCTAAAAATATCACTTATAATGTTTTTTACAACCAATTAAATTTGATGTCAAATAGAATTAGATATTTAGATCAACCTTTTTACTAAAATCGAATAGTTTCTTTTTAATTACATGTGACGAAAGGCTATAACTGCACCAGTCGTATATACTATGCCGATTGGCTCTTTTACGAATTTATAAAAATATAAACTAATTATGCATATGTATATTAATAGATGGCAAAGAGAAATAATTTGATTACTTTTTTCAGAATTGTTCATATTTCTTAATTTCATGAGAACTTTTAATGATGAAAATAATTACCGTATGATATTGTTGATTTATAATAAGGCTGTATTATTACTGAAATTTCCAACTAATTATTATTTAAAACTCATTCGGTTGCGTTATTAATTTTGGTAATATTTTCAGATCAGCTGGTAATTGGGAGACTGTGTTTTCTGATAGTGAAGAAAATTTTTTTGTACAGGTAGGTAAGCGTTATTTCAAATATAATTAAAATAATAAATAATACATTATTTTTAATTTCCCATAGATAGAAATAGGAAGAAGATTTTTAAGTTTTATTGAAATAGTTACTAATAAATTATCATTTTAATAAATTTTATGATTTTTTAAGCAAATGTTAAAAATTCGATGTTGAGTTGTACTGTAAAATTTAGATATTAACTGAAAAAAAAAAGCATTTAAACCTTGTAAAAACAATCAATTATTCAATAAGCAAATAACATTTTTCTAAGGGATCAGTAAACAAAATAATTTTATTAAATTTCATACCCTCGACTTCATTTACATAATAAATTACAATTTGCTTGTTTTTATTTAAATAAAACATTCAAGAGTTCAACTTTTAACATTTTAATTACAAAAGGGAAATTAAAGCTAAAAATATCACTTATAATGTTTTTTACAACCAATTAAATTTGTTGTCAAATAGAATTAGATATTTGGGTCAAGCTTTTTACTAAAATCGAATAGTTTTTTATTTTTTAAATATGTGATGAAAAGCTATACCGCCCCAGTCGTATATACTGTGCCGATTGGTTTTTTTTACTGAATTTATACAAATTTATAATATGAATATGTTTATTTAATAGATGGCAAAGGGAAATAATTTGATTGCTTTTTTTCAGATTCGTGTTTTGTAATTACACAAGGTCTGGGTTGAAATTATAAATTATTATATGAGCACATTTTTCGGATGTTACAGGTTGGTATTGTATATATTTTTTGATTCATTAAAATAGTTCGCGCGTTAAAATAAAAATATTTTTTTTATTAAAGTAGTTTTAATAGAATTTTAATAAAAATTTTTTGTATAAAATGTACAAAATTTAATTTATATTGAAAGAATTAATAAAGGTCCAGTTTTATTTTCCAAAGCGATGAATTTATTTATCTCGTTTTCATTTTGTATAAAATGAATTTTATTAACATTTGTTAATTCTCAACTTCATTGACATCATCTATTGCATTGTGCATGTTTTTTGTAATTAAAGATTAAAGAGCTCCACCCTTAAACATTAAAAAAAGGAAAATAAAAATTAAAAATATCAATTATAATTTTTTTTACAACCAATTAAATTTGGTGTCAAATAGAATTTAGATATTCTCATCGACCTCTTTTTGCTAAAATCGAATAGTTTTTTTTTTTAAATACGTGATGAAAAGCTATACCGCCCCAGTCGTATATACTGTGCCGATTGGTTTTTTTTACTGAATTTATACAAATTTATAATATGAATATGTTTATTTAATAGATGGCAAAGGGAAATAATTTGATTGCTTTTTTTCAGATTCGTGTTTTGTAATTACACAAGGTCTGGGTTGAAATTATAAATTATTATATGAGCACATTTTTCGGATGTTACAGGTTGGTATTGTATATATTTTTTGATTCATTAAAATAGTTCGCGCGTTAAAATAAAAATATTTTTTTTATTAAAGTAGTTTTAATAGAATTTTAATAAAAATTTTTTGAATAAAATGTAAAAATTTAATTTATATTGAAAGAATTAATAAAGGTCCAGTTTTATTTTCCAAAGCGATGAGTTTATTTATCTCGTTTTCATTTTGTATAAAATGAATTTTATTAACTTTTATTAACTCTCAACTTCATTGACATCATCTATTGCATTGTGCATGTTTTTTGTAATTAAAGATTAAAGAGCTCCACTCTTTAACATTAAAAAAAGCGAAATAAAAACTAAAAATATCAATTATAATTTTTTTTACAACCAATTAAATTTGGTGTCAAATAGAATTTAGATATTCTCATCGATTTTTTTGCTAAAATCGAGTTTTTTTTAAATACGTGATGAAAAGCTATACCGCCCCAGTCGTATATACTATGCCGATTGGTTTTACTAATTATGCATATGTATATTAATAGATGGCAAAGGGAAATAATTTGATTTTTTTTTTTTTTTCAGAATCGTGTTTTGTAATTGCTCAAATTTTTTTTGGATTTATATAAATCATTACATGAGCACAGTTGTCGGATGTTTCAGGTTGGTATTGTATTTTTTTTTGATTTATGAAATAGAAATATTATTTTTATTTAAATTCAAACTCATATATGTAAAATTAAAGTAAAAACTTTTATTAAAGTAGATTCAATAAAATATTAATAACAATTTTTTATATAAAATGTAGAAATTTAATTTCTGTTGATAGAATTAATAAGTCCAATTGTATTTTCCAAGGTGATGAGTTTATATATCTCGTTTTCATTTTCTATAAATGACAAAATCCATTCCCTGATTAAACTAACAAAATTTTTGTTTTCGAAATTAGTATATTTTTATTTAACAAAAGTTTTAATTTTCGTTGCAGAATACACGCACGCATGCAATAAATGTATATGTAAATGTTATGCAGAACGCTTCTGACATGGAAATTACTACTACAAATATGGATTAATATATTAATCGTAAGTTTAAAACAACTAACATTAAAATATAGGTGTTAAGAATTGGCAAATTTGTTTATTGTAACTAATTTACTTTATTTCGTACATGATTCAAAAATACAATGCCAAATATCACATGATTTGAAAAAATTGTGTTTGATTTTATAAAATTAAAGAAAATTTTCCAATTTAATTTCATTGAATAAAAAATTTTATTATTAGATATTTAATAAAATGTTTTGTTTTGCATTTTCTGGTCAAAAACTTCCGCAAACACTGTTCCACTGTTAAAATTATGATGTAAAATAGGTTTTCTTGAATATAAGTATCTTGAATATTTTTTTTTTGTATTTCTAATAAATATCTTCAATTTTCCTTTTTGCACATTATCAAAAGTCTTTTCATAAAAATTTATGAAAAATGAAATGTGTTTTAGGAAACTTAAAACTTTAATGATGAATTATTTTGGATTCCCCAGCATTTTAATAATAAATGACAAAATCCATTCCCTGAGAAAGAATTTTTTAAGAATATTAAATTATATATTTCCGAAACTACATAATATGTATTTAAATATCACATTTCTTTTTTTCGTTTCAGATTAAATAAAACAAAAACTTGCCGATTCTAAAAATAAAGTAAGTTTGAATTAAATAATCAAAAAGTATTCAAAGGTTTTGTATAATAACAACTAATAAGTATCCATATGATTAGTTAGTTTTCTACTTCCATATGAATTTTTTATAAATTTTGCCTCAATACCTGCAGTTGTGATTAGGATTTATATGCGCATGTTCGAATTAGTTACTATAAATGATGATTTTTCGTAGGAATCTCATTGATATTTAAAAATGAAAAAAACCTTTTTTGCTGAATATTTTAAACATAATTTTTATCGTTATTTGTATATAATTTTTTTTATTAAACATTTAACTTTATTTTCCCGCAGATTAATGGACAAATGTTTGGTTCAAACTGGATTTATAATGGACAATAAGGAATAAAAGCCAAATTTTATTATATAAAATGGGTATGCTTTTGTTAATTTGTATTTCATAAAACTGTTAAATATATATTTTGGTTGTCTTCAAATTTTTTATCTCTGATGATAATAATTGGTCCGTGTTTATGAATTTATTTTGATTGCAATTTCCCAATTACTGATTTAACTTATAACCAAATATATTCTTATCATAAGCTTATAGATTATTATAATTAATGTGAGTTTTATTTTTCAGATTATTGCGATTATTGGTATCATAGGAAATTAATAAATATCAAGTAGCTGTGGTGCTATAAAAGTGAAAATAAGGTCAGCTTTGTCATCTCTAATAAGTTTTTTTTTTTAATTTTATATGAGGATAAAATTTATAATTAATGATAATTAAATTTATTTAATTTATTTGATTTTTTCAATCCAACACTGAAAATAATAATCTACAACAAAAACATTAATAATATAAATTCGCAAATACTTGTTAACAAATTTATTTTAAATTTTTTAGGATTATGAAAAATTTAGCAGCACTACTCAGATCAACGTGCTTCATATTCAATATGGATTTACTTTCAACAATCGTTTAGAAAATGGCTTCAAAAAATACTAAACCATTTTTGAAAGTTTTACAAACAATAATTTGAGATGATATTTTAAATATGGACGGGGATAGTTAGATATATAACTAAACGATAACAACAATAATTAATTTGTTTGCTTTTAATTTCACACATTTTGTGATTATTTCATTATACGTATGTACATATATATCGGTTTTTAATTTTTTTTTTGTTATATTTTCATTATTAATTAACTGTGGAAACATTTTGAGCCATATTCTCAAAAACAAAATATCTTGTTATCTATTTAAATTCGGTTCTTAATATTACACGTACTTTTTTTTGTTTCTGAATTACATTTTTTACATTTTCAAAGTGGTCCTCAAATTATTGTTTTTAAAAGTTCAAAGAAATTTGTGGAAAAAGTTTTCAGGTAAGCTTGCTAAAATATTAGAGAAGCCAAACCGGTAAAAATTAAAAAAAAAATGCCTTTCTGATTACGCCATATTTCATATCCAGTGCGACAATATTTTGTTGAGAACTTCTTGAATCATATTTCGATAATACAGTGACTTAAAGTAAAAATGGTCCTCCTTAAAAAATTTGATTATGTCATTTAAAGAAATATATAATTAACTATTTAAAATTTGTAAATGTGGCTGAATTAATATACACTTTTGCTTTAAAGCACCATAATTAAATTAGTCATTCACTATTTAGAAGAAAAAAAAGGGAAAATTTTAAAACATTGAACATAACAATAAATGGTACACCCCGACAAAACAAATATCAACATGAATTTTTGGGCGTCTACCGTTACCTAAACACAAAAACTGCAATTTCAAGTGCTAAAAGGTGATGACTAAACTATTAGGAGAGTCCTATGAAATGCTGATTTACACGGTAGAACTGCTAGAAAAAACCATTCATTAGTAAGAAAAACAAGAAGGTACAATTAGAGGTTGCTCGTCTATATATTTTGAAAGACTTTTCATTTTGGAAAGATGTGTTTGGATCGGATGGGTTAAAGTAAATGAAGGTCTGAAAACACAGCACGTTCAGTACCCACAGTAAAACACGGTGATGGTCACGTAATTTGTTTATGAACACAAATATAGCGCAGTTCTTGCTATATATCGCGGTATACTGCTTTTATGAAAAGATCTATTTTTTACACATTTAAGTCCTTTTCATAAACTTTGTATTCAAATTTTCTTAATTCCATGTAATAATATAATTCGTTTTTTAATGACTTAATATTAGTTTTGAAGTGGACCATTTTCACTGCGAGTCACTGTTCATATTTATAAAGAGCTCGAAATAATATTGACGTACTTATGGCAAAGTTCTAATTTTTTAGTTTTAAATATGATGATATTTATTAATGCTCATAGTCTTCTTTTCCCGACATAAAACATTTGATGATTTTGTTAAATCTGAATATTCAATCATTTAATTTTTTACAACTACACAATTTAAATTTTTCATTGTAATCAGATGCACATACATTTTTGTTCCTTTCAGGTACGTATAAATATCAGCTATCTGTGTTCTTTTTTGCGAAATTGGGGATATAAAAGTGAACGAGCGCCTTAAATATTATTTTAAATTTTTTGATAATGAAAAATAAATAAAAGGAAAAATGTACATAACATTCATATTCGTTTTGTTTCATTAATGTGCTTCAAGATTAAAAAGTATTTCAGTTCGTCCTAAAATAGTGTATGCAGTTTTGGTAAAGTTTGGTTTTATAGGGGATTTTCGACAACTCAAGTGTGCACCACAAATTTTAGATTAAATCGGAGTCTTCACAAATACTTTCTAGGAACTAAATAGTTTACATTTTCGGATTTGTTACATCTGTTTGCTTCAATATCAAACCATTTTTCTTTGGTATATTTGGCAGACGCAGACGTGTTGATCAAAAGTGGGCAAAACTGATAAAGGCATTTGCCTTGTCTTTGTCAGTTTTTGCCCACTTTCCATGTAAGTTTTTAATAGCAGCGAGATGTTTGATAATTTGCTTCATTTTCTTTGTTGCCGTCCACAGTGAATAATTGTTTTCTCACACGCCGTCAAATTTTGAACATAATTAGCAACCGAATCCTCCTTGTATTTTCTGTTAAAGATTTATATATGTATATTTAATTTATACTAGAGGTGTGCGCTACATTTCTAACCCAGCATTTACACATACAAGTTACTTGCATGCAAGTTTGTATAATATTAATTGTCAATTAGTTGTTCGAAATGTCAAATTACTTGCTATTATGACGTAGGCGTTTAGCAAGTTAATTTTTGAAAATGTCTTTGAGAAGAAAACAACTAGCAATATATATAATTGTTTATAAATTTTAGAAACCATAAGTTTGCTAAGTTTAATTTTTTGAAAACAAAATTCAAAAATTTTAAATTAAAAAAAAAAAAAATCAAAACAACAAATTTTTTTTTGTGAATTTCTCAATATGTCAAATTACTTGCTCAAATTACTGGCAGCAAAATTTTCTTGCAAGTTGAACTGCAAGTAAACAAGCAAGTAGAAATATTTCAATGTGTTAGTAAAATTTTTGTATGTATTGCAACTTTCTTGCAAGTAACTTGTACGTGTAAATGCTGGGTAACATTTCTTAATTGCAGATTGAATTTCCGAACGCACTTTATTGCAGCCAGTAATTTCTGAACGATCTATATTTAGTGCGTGAGTTTTCGAACGTACTACAAGTTAGAACTATTCTAGAACTGAATAAACGAAAACCCCCTTGTTTTCGAACTACTTAATATTTAGAAGTTTCCGAATTTATAGACTGCGTAAACAAAAACTTAGAAATTTCACTTCTAATGTAGAATTTTTAGCACAATTAACGAAAACCACCATTTCGCATGTCAAATATAACTAAGAATTGAAATACCAAAAATGTCAAGTAATTGAATGTCTTAGGACCTAGACCATTTAATTTCACAGTAAAGTTCGCCCAAATTTCCTAATATTATGTAGATACAAACGCTACTTTTGTGTTACCATAAAAAAAATAATTACACTACTATAATTATTTTTGGTTCCAGAAATTCATGTCGTAACTCGAATGGTCGTTTGAGGAGGGAAAAAAATGTATGGAAACAAAAAGTGAACTAGACAAACTGTTTTATAAAATAATTGATCTTTTTTTTTTAAAAAAGGTAACAAAGTTTGAAAAAAACAACAAAATATAATAACAAAACCAAAAAAATTCAATGATGTAACAAAAATAAATAAAAGAAAATCTAAATAAGTTGATATTTTATCACTTCAATTCGTATTCTTAACTACTAACTAGAATTTTTAACTAGAAAGAGTTCATTGTTGAAGTATGTGCTTTAGTCTCGTCTTATAACTAAATTCGGTATAGATTTTTATTCAAAAAACAGTAAAATCTATCAAAAAAACAATTTTTTTTTTTTAATTTTCAATGTCGTAAGCCGAATCAAAATGATCCAAATTTATATCATGTCGTAACTCGAAATGTCGTATCTCGAGGACTTAGTGTACATGTATTTTCATTACATACAATAGATGCTACATGGATTTTATTCATAGTCACGCTAATAGGCATAATTTACGATCCAGCAAATTTGATAAAACGAACTAAAATTTGATATTAAAATACCATATAGAGATACCTTAATCAAAAAATGAAATAAATATAGCTTTTGAAATAAAAAAAAGATATTATTTATTAAATATTGTTTCTTTTTTAATTACATTTACTTGTTATAGATATTTAAAAATTAAAATTTATTTTACTACTAATGCTTTACCTTTTTTTTTAATCTCAACATAAAGCCTGATAATAATATAAAATATCAACTGAAAATCCCAACAAAATTTTGAAAATTAGTTCTAGTCGCATACAATTTTTATTCGCCTAGTTTTGACATTTCTCTTGAAGTAATTTTATTATATTAGAACCATAATACCATTTAGGCTAATTCGACAGAAATGACATTCGCTTCGCGAACCTTAATAGCATAATCGCTTTTGTCAGAAACATGATAAAATACCAAATTATTTAAATTGGCTAAAATGATGGTTTTATTTTCTTTGCTGTGATCTTGACTTTTGTTTGGTTACTTCATTAAGAACTTTCATACAATTGTAAATATTCATTTTTTATTTTAATTTCCACTTCTTTTACAATTTTACTGTTTTGCTTTTGGTATAAAGTTTGGTTTCAAAATTTTGTTCCAGCTGTAGGTACAGCAGCTTTAAAAATCATTAGTCAATAAGAACTTTTTTTTAGTGCCGAATGAATTTGATATACAAATAGTATTTGAAATTAAATTGCTACCAAAAATCTGCCTGTAGATAGTTTAAAAAGTGATCTTTTAAACTATCACCACAGGATTCTTTCTTGAGGCAAAAAAAGGCACATTTCATTTATAATTATTTAACGCAAATTTTAAGTTTGAATAATATTTAATTATTACTCTAATTCACTTCGTATATTAATATGTATAAATATTCAGCTTTTAAAAACTGTCAGATAAATTCATATGTACCATTTTTAATGTCGTAACGTAGCAGCGTATGGTCACTATAAAAGTATAAACTTCTAGTGTCAAACTAAGGCACAATCGTAAAAACAAATAACAAATTAAATTACATTGTCCACATCTGATGCTATGTACACAAATTATTTTCAATATTAATTAAACATTTTGATTAAATATATATATACATTTGTATATATTTCATATGCGTATCGCAGTAAATTTCTAAATTGATTTCATATTTTTATTCATGATCAATTTAGTATAATTCAATTCGTGGCTCAATCAGCAGGTTTTACATTTAGTTTTGATTCTTTATGTACGTAAGTGAAACATTTTATCGTTTAAGTTTAAAACTCTTATCAGTTATCGCAAAATAAATATTTTGAACCAAATATAGTGATATAAAATAAGTTGCAATAAGGTAAGTAATATACACCTGTTAGAGATTGATTCTAGAGTGTAGGAGAAATAACGTATGTATGAGTATGTATATATGTATATATATGTATGTACGTAGAAGTATGATTTATATTTTATATTTGTATGTGCATACTTATTAGTAATTAATATATTTGTTTATCTACTTAATTCCTCCTAATACTTTTTCAAGATAAAACTAACGGCGGATCGGACCTAGATTTTTATTACAAAAATACTTATAAATATATGTATTTATAAATACATCTGAACATACAATAATAAATAATCCTGAAACATAGTGGTGAAACATTTAAGATGTAATTTAAAAAGATGTGTAAAAGATTTCAATAATTTTCTCAAAATTCAATAAAAAAACATGAGCATATACATTTACATGTAGATATGTATGTAATTACATTATATTGTATTTTATATGGAATTGATTTTAAAATATGTATGTTATTACACGTACTTGACCTAACTTCAAATTGTAGTGGTACAGTATTGAATTGAAACAAGTCACAATTACTATATTACTGTACTACTAATATAGAGTATTACTACGATTTCAAAGTAACGGTAGAATCACGGATGACGAAAAAGTCGAAAAAACAAACATTTTACTATATGTATCTGCGTTATAGCATGTACATGCATAGTATATGTATATTGTGTTTTATTTCAAATTTTAAATCAGCTAGTTTTCAAACCAATTTTTGTACTAAAAATATATCGTTTTTAAATAAAAAAGCTTTAATTCTGTTTTTGTTTCAAATTAAAGTCTAAAAAGATTCAAAGTATCAGCTTCAAGAAAAAGAACGTAAAAATTGTTAAGAAAATTATAAAAAATTTCTAAAATTTTTGTAAATGCGGTAAACACCTACATATTAGGTTATTTTTGTTCATTGCATAAATTAATATTATTAGCAAAGTTGTAGTTTTTAATGGAAAAAACCAGAAAGCCTTAAAAATTTTTGTTCTAAGTAAAAATATTATGGGACAAAATTATAACTGTAAAAGCCAGGATAAAAAAATCGTTTAATGTAAGTTTCTAAAATAATTTTAGAAGCTCAATATACATATGTATTTAAGAATACAATGCCTACATCGTATAACACACAAAAAATTTAAATCGTACGCTATATTAACTGATTTTTTTAAATGACTTTACAAAACGTTGAGATTTAATTTATAATAACGTATGTACATGCATCTATATGTGTAGGCATATAATAAACATACAAATTTACTATACATCAAAAAATTTAATTAAATAAATATATGTATATACGTTAACATTCTCTTCCTTTATATTATTAGATTGGAAAGTTTTTGGCTATATATATTCGATATCATGTCGACCTCAGAGCAACAATTACGTTACATTACAGATAACTTTTTGAATCACATTGGTGAAAAGCTTTTGGATGAAAAAATTATCGGTCATGAAATTTCTCATTCCGGAGGTTTTGATGGTTTTATGTCAACTATTTTTGAGCTAGATATCAAAACTGTGAATGAGAAAACAAAAAAGTAAGTGCTTATTGTAATTAATTCAAAAACTTACAGCCTCACTTTTTATCTCAGTTTTTCAATCAGATTTTTTAATAATTTTCAAATCAGCAATTTGTTTAATCTAAAATTTTTTAAATGACATTTTCCCAACTTATTCAGTTGAATTTAATTTTGTCTTAATAAATAATACATAATAAAGAAAAAAATTTAAAAATATTGCTAAATTTGGTTTCTTTTACATTTTTACAATTAAGCGTGTTAATAGTGAGGTGATGGTAGCTAAAGCTTTGGTTAATTTATTTTTATATTTTATACGATTCTTAAAAAAGTGTCAAATATTTTGTGGTGAATTAAAATTTACTTGTTGTAATATGAGTGAATTTATACTTATTTAAGCTTCACTGTTTCATGTCATTCATTTTGGGCTGAGTGGTCAGATTTTTTTTCTTACTGCTTGTTGTATAAACTTGAAATTGAACCATCTACGACTCCTCAGTGAAATTGAATTTTCAATATATTTTGTGGGCTTGTTATTCCTCAACTTGGTAAAATTTTTATTCATAAAATTTTAAAACCTTTAACGGTATTAGAAAAACGGCTAATTATTTTGCGTTTTATGTCTCTTTTTATATACGAAAATTGTCTTATGGTTATTTTATTACAATGTGGTTATTTCTGAAGCTTCATATTATACATGGCGAATTTAGATATTTTATTTAGAATTAATGAAAATTTTGTTTAGAATAATTTTTGAATAATAATTTATGAAAAAAAAATTATGTTGCTGTTTTTCTTTATTTTTTTCTTATACGCCAACCATGTTACTATATGTGTAATAATAAATAAATATACTGTTTTTACATGAAGGTAAGGGTTTCCAAAATACATATTATATAAAAAACTAATTTTTCACACCTATTTGTAGGGAAAAGATTCATAAATTAATCGCTAAATTTATGAAAAGCACCGTCTCATTTAGGAAAGCAAGCAAATCGTATGAGCAATTTTCAAATGAAATTTTCATTTATGGTAAGGTTTTACCATATTACGAAGAAGTGCTGAAAAAACAAATGATCAAGAAGAATTTAATAATTGATATAAAAAATTGGATTCCACGCACATTTTATGCTGAATATGGTTTGATTCAAGGTAAATTATTTTTATTATGACTTTTTTGATACCATACTTAACTCCAAATAATATGCACTAAAGTTCAGTAGACATTCCTAAGTTTAGATTGCAAAATAGCAAACGTAACAAAAGTTACATTCAAATAATAATAAAATCATTTGATTTATGTATGCCTATCATACTAATTGGTTTTGTTGAAATCGTACTAATTAATATCATTAAAATTCTTTTTTGTGATTTAAGGTTTAAGTGATGGCAGAACAAATGAATCTGTACTTGTTTTAGAAAATTTGAAACCTTTAGGCTATAGGGGTGGACCTAGATGTTTTTTAGATCGGCAGCACTTACTGTTGTCAGTTAAAATTTTAGCTGAATACCATGCATTCAGTTATGTTATGAGAATAAATAAAGATCCGAAGCTGCAGGAATTTATTGAAGAAATAATTCCATTACCATTTATAATACAACAAAATGCTACGCAATCAACACTAGATAATTCGCTAGTTCAGCAACAAGAAAACAACAAAAACCAGGATCAAACTATCCGCAAAAGGAAACTCTCATGTGATGGTATTATAAGTTATAACTAAATAAAAAAAATAGTTAGTATACATAGTACCTTTTTAATTAAACTTATTTTAATTTTTTTTTTTGCAATAGCGCTTGATGCCAATAATGATGATGATGAAAATGAAAATGATGAAAATAAAAATAAAAAATATTACAATACTGTTACAAAAACAGAAAACAATTTTTATGATGTTCTTTATAGAGTTGCATTTGATAGATTCTTCATGTTTATTGAAAAACTTAAAATTATCAACTCTAACATGCAAATCAGTACTAACATTGAAAATCAAAATAAGAATTTATTAAACTTTATAAAGGAGAAAAATATAAATGATGAATTTTTCGAGACTTTGGATGCGTTCAAATTAAAATGGTACGATAAACCGACGGCATTATTGGAGTACATTCGTTGTAATTGTGTTGATAATTCAGAAAATGATGTTTTTCCTGTTATACTTCATGGAGATTTTAATAGAAATAATTTGATGTATCAATATAATGAGCATCAAGGATATGAAAACCCGATAGGTGTAAAAATGATTGATTTTCAAGTATGTTCTTAATCAAAAACTTTTAACTTCAAAAAAATTTTTTTTTTTATTATTAAAAAAGTATTAAAAAAATTAAAGTCAGAGTAGAACAAAATAATTCAAGAAAAGATTACACCTTTTTATTAATTTAGGTTTCTTATATTAATAACAATAACAACATATTGAAATTTTTTCTTTTTATACAAATTTTACTTTTTTTTATTTTAAGGAATTACGTTATGGGACACCAGCTATTGATTTAGCTTTTCATATGTATATGAACATGGAACCTTCAATTCGTAATGAATTTTGGATGGAATTACTCAAATTCTATCACAATACTGTGATCAATACAATGGCCAATATTTTGAACGTTGAAATTGGACATGAATTGTTAAATCCGTATAGGTAATCGCTATTTTTTTTTTCTTCTTTTCATAAAATTATTATAGAATATATAAAACTTGATATAAAATTAATTATAATGCTTAAAAAAAGTTAAAAACAGTAAGGATTGCAATACTTAATTATTTTAAAAGAGAAAATATTCATATTGTAAATACATCAAGAGTCAAAGCGTTTAACGTAAAATTTTCACTTTTGTGATATTAAATTTGAAATTATGTAAATGTATTAATACCAATTCAAAAAATGGATTGAACTCTTGAAAAAAATCAAAAAACAACGCACTACGATGAAGGGAACTCCGGCCCAAATTAATAGAGCATGAGTTTGTCCAATCAAAATTTGTATACCTTGCTTCTATATCCTACTTTTTAATATAATGATGTTTGTATGTACATATATAATAATTTTGTAACATTTTTGTTTTAGGTTTGAAAAATTTAATGAACATTTTACTAAGTATGCATTCTATGGTGCTTTAGTTTGTATGCATTTTTTACCTTGGATGACATGTTCTGAAGAAGAAGTTGAAAAGTTATCACATCATTTTGCAACAGATATGCATGGTAATGATTTTCGTCAAATTTCAATTGATGCGGGAGGAGAGGAATCAGATAAGTTAATTGCTGAAATAGTTCAACATGCAATAAAATTAGGTTACATGAAAAATTTATTGTAAATTAAAAAAAATATTTTTACATGAAATTTTTTGCCTTTTTTTTATATTATGTTATTTTTTTTATATTAATAAGGTTTGCATTACTAACGTTTTTTGCCTCTGTTTCGAATTAGGGTTAATGTTCACTTCAGCTAAATGTTCCTTAAATCGATGTATCATGTACAGAAAGGTTTTTACTAAGAAAAATTGGTCATTTTTTATACATATGTATGTATGTTGGTATGCTATATTTTATCCTGTACTGTAATATAAGTTGTCAATTATTTTTTCTTGGTCGAACGCTTTCGTTTTCGTTTTTTGGAAACATCAGAAGCTACTTAGATTTTAAAATATAAAAGAATATTAAATAAATCTAATAGAGATGTTTTAATTATTAAAATATTTAATTTCCATTCAAGAGACAAAACTTTAACCATTTAAAATTTGTAAACGTTTTTCATCTTGTTTGGTGCTTTTACAAATGTTTTTTATCTTTTTTTATATTTTTACAACTGTAAAATTTTTTATAATGTACTTTACATTATACTATAGTTTCCATGTTTCTTTACTAATTTCAATGGTTTGTGCAAAAATGATTGATTTTGACGATTCAAAAAAAGGTAAACGTAAAATATTATGAACACATGATTGTAATATTTGTATTATGTAAACTGTTCATTGAAAACCTTTTTTATAACAAAATGGTTTTATTATCTTTTGTTTGCAATTATAGTCATTGAAGATTATGAATTTATTTATAATTTCGATCATTACAAAATAAATATTTTAAAGGTAAGTAACGTTATTAAAACCAAATGATAATTTCCACTACAATAAAAAAAAACTTGTGTGTTTCAAGAGTATAGTGTCATATATCGATAGAATAATCTACCATTTCGTAGATAGTCTTCTAACGGTTCGTTATACTTTTGATTTCATCAATAGTAGAGCATAATAATATAGCCAAATCTATATCTGTTGGTTTATTTTTTCGTCCGCCGCAGCGATAACTTCAAAAGTAATTTTGCCATGTCAAACTATTAAAGATACAATATTAAAGTTTCGCATAAACGAATATAGTGATAAGACTATTGCTTTCGGTGAAAGAAATTAAGATTGAGTTCTTATGGTATGGCAACAGCTCCAAAAACTGTTTATAGTTTTCTATACACGGAAAACTAATTTCTGAAAAAACTGGAAAACGAAATTTCGTACAAACGAGTTTAGAAAATATATCGTCGCTATTGAAGTTGCTATATTTCATATGGTTGTTTTAGTCGAAGAGTTTTTGTGATAACGGCTATGTAACTAAATTTAAATTGTTTTAAATTTAGTTTAAATATCAGTTTATTTATAAATTTAAATTGCTTTCACGCGACCCATAGAATCTATAATTCATTCCGTGTATTGAATAATCTCTGTTATACAGAACAAAATCTTTTATACACCTTTCGTTAATTTATAGTTTTTATTAAAGAAAAATAAACATTGTTATGTTGAAAAATTTACATTTAACCAAAAAAGTCTCATTCTTCATCTTTATGGCTTTCATGTAATCATTATAGAAACTTTAAGTGGTATAATTTTTTATTCAAAAAATCCGGTTTTGCCGGATAGTTTTCGGTTTTTTAGGATGAGTGGTTAAGTACTACTTCTTGCAAAGTTCCCCTAAAGTTTTTTCATTTATTTAATCTGACTTGATGAAATTTGCATATATTTCATCTATATATGTATTTGTTTTTATTACATAAATAAATATTACATTTTATATATTCAAAATAAAATTTCGTAATTAGTTTTCATATTCATGCTAATTGAAACTGGAAATTATTAGTTTAATTGATATTTTTTATTTTTAGGGAAAAACTTCATAAATTAATTGTTAAATTTATGAAAAGCGATGTATCTTTTAGAAAAAGAAGTAAATCATATGAGCAATTTTCTAATGAGATTTTGTTCTATAGACAAATTTTACCATATTATGAAAAAATATTAAGCAAATCTTTGAAGGAATCGTCAATTGATGTCAAAAATTGGGTTGCACCTATATTTTATGCTGAATTTGGTCTAATTCAAGGTATAATATTTTGTTAAAACAAATTTTTGCACGTCTTAAAAATGTCCATACAATATTTTAAAAATATATTGTAAAATTCAATTGGAATGTTTAAGTAACACTTTGAAAGTATTATACTTAATTTCCAATACACAGCCGGATTAAAAGATTGAAAATTCATGAAAATATTGTTATCGTTTATTTTTTTCTCTAATTTAAGGTTTAAGTGATGGCAAAACAAATGAATCTGTATTAGTTTTAGAAAACTTAAAATCTTTAGGTTATAGAGGTGGTCCCAAATTTTTTTTAGATCGTCAACAATTGTTATTGTCTATTGGAATGTTAGCTGAATATCATGCATTCAGTTATGCTATGAAAATAAATAAGGATAGAATGCTTCAAGAATTTATTGAAAAAATAATTCCACTACCATTTAAAACACTAAAAAATACTACACAACAATCAAAAACTATAGATTATTCGATACAACAGCATAGAAAATTAAATGAGGAAAAAATGCAAAATGATAAAAAGAAACAGGAAATTGGCGTCACTAATAATATGTTAGAAGTTGATGTGGAAAATGTCATCAAAAATCAAAATGTTCTTAAAAGAAAATTCCCAACAGATGTGAATCATGAAGGAGATGTTTTAAATTTTACTACAAAATCTTGTATTTTATCTGCAAATGATAAAACGGATGATGGTATTATAAAATAAAAAATAATAATACTTTTATTTTATTTAAAATATATTGTTTTTTTTTTATTGCAGTAATAAAAAATGCCAATGCGAGTATTGGTGATGGCGATGATGATGAGGATCAAAACAGCAGTAATAGTAATATGAATGATGATGCAAATAGAAAGAATGAAAATAAAAATGAAAAAAATGTTACTATTGATAACCAAAACGGAAATAATTTATATGAAATTTTCTATAGAAATGCATTCGATAGATTTTTTATGTTTATTGAAAAATTAAAAATTATAAAATCTAATAATCCTGCTAAAAAAACTGATCAAGATATAAATTTATTTAATTTTATAAAAAAGAAAAATATTAATGATGAATTCTTCGAAACTTTGGATGCATTTAAATCAAAATGGTATAATAAACCAATAGAATTATTGGAGTATATTCGTTGCAATTGTGTTGATATTTCTGTAAATGATGATTTTCCAATTATAATTCGTGGAGATTATAGTAGAAATAATTTGATGTATCGATATAATGAGCCTGAAGGTTTTGAAAATGCAATTGGAATAAAAATGATTGATTTTCAAGTAAGTGTTCCTTTTTTATATAATAATTTTAGCTGTATTTTTCTTTATATATTTTTTGTATTTGAAAAAGTTTTTTTTTTTTTTTGTTTCGTTGCTAAACACTCGTTGCGTACAGTTGTATAAACGATTTTTTGCATATATATTTAAACCACATTTAACTTGAATTATACTTAAGAAAAACATAAAAAAAAAAAAAGAAAAACAATTTCCACAAAAAGGAAAAATTCAAGTTCGTCGCTGCATGACAACAATGTTGACCATAACAACAGTAAAAAGATGAATCTGTCACAAAATAATAATCGATTTGAGGTGCTGAGCCAGTTGATGGACCAAGTTGAAATTATTGTGAATACATCGGTAAACACTACTCAAAAATCACCTAAAATACCACCCATTACAATAAAAGGCTGTAATGCAGTAGGAATAAGAAACAAGCTTACCTTACTTGGTATTAAAGGAGCCAACGTTAAAAATTGTTCAATCGGTATTCAGGTATTTTGCCCAGATATCGCAAATTTTAATAAGCTTATTAAGGCCCTTTCTGATGAAAATAAAATCGCTGAAGGCAACGTGGCCAAATGGAGTTTCTTCACACACGAAATTCCAAACACCAAGCCATCAAAAATAGTGTTATATGGTCTGGACGAACACGTGAAAATTGATGAAATCAAAGATGAGCTCACCTTAAAAAACGAAATGTTTCGAAATCTTATCTACTAGTTTAAATTGCATAAATAATGAAATCATAAATGTAGTGGTAGTATTCTTTAAGGGTGGTACGTATAATAAGAATTCTTGTAATGACTTTATGCATGATCTAAAAATATTCAATAAGATTCATGGTAAATATATTATAATGGGCGATTTTTACTGCCGTCATATAAACTGGAATTACGTCTCTACGAGCAACTACACACTCTTGTTTCTTGCCAGTAGCACTTACATTCCAAAATCGACCAGGGGTAATCCATCCACGCTAGATCTCGTATTATCTAATATCCCACAGGAAATTTCGGACCCTTATACTATCAACGAATTTAGTTTAGACCATTTGCCAATAAGATTCAACATTAGTTCAGGTGTAGATAAAATTCTTAATAAATACTATGTCGTTTATAAAAATATTAACTGGTTAAAATATAAGAAATTACTGGGTTCCAAAATAAATCTGAATCAGATATCGTTTAATCTGGATAATCCGAATCCTGATGGAATAAACGGACACGTAACACTATTTCAGGAAATAGTGCTGGACTGTGCAAAAAGAGCGTCACCATGCAGAACTATAACCCCAAAAACGGATGAAATCAATATGCCACAGCAAATTCTCTTATTAATAAGTAAAAGAAATCAGTTGAGGCGTCTGTGGCAAAGAACAAGAAACAAATACTACAAAATTAGAATGACTCTTCTTCAAACAACGATATCTGACAGAATTCAGCAATTTCAAAACAACGGATGGAATAAAATTTTAAAAGACTTACCAAAAAATGGAAAGGCCTTCTGGAAAATTACAAGAGTCCTGAAAAATAAGAACAAAGTTATCCCACCACTCAACGTAGACGGCACAGTGGCCATAACGAATAAAGAAAAGGCTGATCAATTTGTAACTAATTTTGCACTTCATAATAACAATCAAAATAACAATAGTATTAGTGTTAATATCAATTATATCAAAAATATCAGAAATAATACTTATAATGATAATAACAATAATAATTATAATAACAATTCGATTCTCCCATTCGAAACGGTAAAACTAAAAGAATTGAATGATATAATTAAAAAACTTAAAAACAAAAAGGCTGCTGGTCCAGACTCTATCGCACCCATGTTCTTAAAAAACTTAAATAAAACTTCCAAAATATTTTTGTTGAAAATTATAAATGCTTGTTTAAAAATTGGATACTTCCCCGCGCTATGGAAGATTGGCATAATAATTTGCATTCCTAAGCCAAACAAGAACAGGACCGACGTTAAGAACTACAGGCCAATTACCTTGTTAAGTATTGTGAGTAAAATGTTGGAGAGAGTTATGAAAAATAGACTGTTGAATTTTATAGAAGAAAATCACATTTTTCGATTACGATCCGATGAACAATTTGGCTTTAGGAGGAATCATTCCACAACCCATCAGGTCAGTCGTATTGTAAACCATATAAGAGATGTCTTCACAGATGCAAAATCCACGGGACTTTTAACCCTTGATGTTGAGAAAGCTTTCGATTCTGTATGGCATGATGGTCTTGTGTATAAAATGTTGGGTCTTGGTTTTCCATTGTATCTTACGAAAATAGTACAAAATTTTCTATACGGAAGATCTATATTTGTGAACATAAACGACTGCAGGTCAGAGAAAAAGGAAATGGCGGCGGGGGTTCCCCAGGGATCCGTGATAAGTCCAGTCTTATTTAACATTTACACATCGGGCATACCCATACCTGAGAACTGCGGATTGGGGATATTTGCTGACGACACAGCGATCTTCAGTACGCACGCCACTGTCGTATCACAAAATCTGGAGGATGGCTATGAATCCATCAGGAACTATTACTACAAGTGGAAGATAAAAATCAACGTATCTAAGACTCAGGCGTGCTTTTTCAGTAGAAAGCGGAGGACCGATCTCTTACCGGCTTGTGGTTTAAAACTTGATGGCGTTGAGATAGCGTGGATGGATTCAATAAAATATTTAGGGTTGCAATTAGACAAAAAACTCTTGTTTAGGACCCATATAGATTTTTTGGTAAAAAAATGTGACATCGTTATAAAAACATTATATCCCTTAATAAATAGGAAATCACTTCTTTCAGTTGATAACAAAATTTCAAAACTGTCTTCCAAAGTATGATGCTTTACGGCTCTGAGGTCTGGGGTGCATGTTGGACAAACCATTTTTTTTTTCAACTGCGAGGCTACATAAAATAAGTAGTGTTAAATTTATAGAAGATCAAATTACAAATCGAAGTTGCTCATTTGTTGATAAGAGTATCGTTTCCGAGAGTCCTTTAATAAAGAATATATTTATTTAAAACAAAAAAAAAAAGAAATAAAATAAATAAAGCATAAAAAAAAAAAAATAAAATAAAAATAAAAATAAATAAGAAATAAAATAAAATTTTGTTAATTAAGTAAATACAATTACCAAACCCTGGTTTTTTCCCCCTCCCGTCCCCTCCCCTTTGTTAGTTATTAGGTCGGTTTAATTTTAGCTATTAAGTTATAAAATAATTTCAAAAGAGGTTTTTCGTTCCTTTCCTCTTACATATCTTCCCATAAATTTTAGTAAATTCGTCGAAAAAAAAAATTCAAATGTATATTATATTATAGTTGTAAGGTGAAAACCGCATAAATGTAAAAATATTGTAAATTGCTAGTTGGAACAATAAATGTTAAAATGTTAAATGTTAAAAAAATGAAAAAGTTTTTTTGGAAAACTTATTATAGAGATTATTGTTTGAGTTATCTGGAAATTTACTGACTTAATTATAATTATATTTTAATATTGATTAAGACAAAATTAAATAATTGAGTAAGTAATTTAGTAAACCTGTTAGTTAGTCAACAAGATTGGTTAATTTTTTTTAATGATTTATATATCACGTTGAGGTTTGGCAACAAATAATTATACAGTATTTAAAAAGATTTCAGACACTAAATTCTATAATTAAAAACTCTAAAATATAGTATAATAACGTATATTTTTTAATATTATTAATTTTATTTTATTAATTTTAAAATTTATTTTATTAATTTTAATAACCTGGTAAAATTTCTCTACTATTTGACAGATTTTCTAATAAAGTGAAATACTTTTTCTTGCAATATAATATGTTATTCGTGAAACTAAAATCAGATTTCTAAATACGAGTATATTTAAAGTTACTTCACAAATTCAAGAGTTATATAAAAACGTTAAGAAAGATTACGGTAGTCAAAAAACTTATAGTTAAAAATTTTTTATTATTTATGGGTAGAATTTGTAGCATAAAAGACTGAATGAACATTAAAATGTAGACTTTAATGGAGTTGTTTAATAAGTTCAATAAGTCATTTGGAAAATTCAAAAAAAAATTTGTTTTCACTATATTATAATTAAACTTTAGATATAAGTTTATTGTAAGATCATGGTTCTAAATTCATTCATAGGAAATAATGTAGCATTGTTCAAAAAGTAAAAGTAGATAAAAACAAACTAATGTTTAATATTTAATTAGAGAATACTATTTAAAATTACTGTAATAATCAAGAATTAAAATTAGCAAATCAAATGTTTTAATTGCAATCAAAAATTACATGTGACATGACTACAAGCATAATAACGATATAAAATTTTTTTTTATTTTTAATTTGTATAATATTAACCATGTACATTATACGAGTGAGAACATTCATTTTAATTATAATTTCAATAAAATTATCATTACTTCTATAAAACGAGCAATAAACACAGTATTAAAAATTGCTTTTTTTTTTTGATTACTTACTATGTGTCACCACTCTCCACATTATAATCTTATATACAAATAAAAGAGAAAAGAATTACAATTCTTTTTCCAAATTATAATTTCAATGATTTGTTTGTATGTCTAACAAAAGTATTCTATTAAAATAGTATATACAGTCGAAAACGTTTAATTGCAACACGCATATAAGCAAAACTTCTTTATACGAATATCATATTGTTCTCTTGTGTAATTTCTCTGGAAATATTGGTAAAGCGGTTTCAAGAACCAGCTGATATATTT